GTATTGGACTGTGTATAAAGCCGTAAAATGATATATCATTGTGGTGTGTGATGTTTTAAGTACATCGAAGCTTCGGACCTGAACTCAATCCGACACTGTCTATAAACTATGGTGGCTGATATGTGTCAACGAAAATTAACAAACCTTAGTTCTCGTTCTTTCGTCTGTTCGTCCCTAAAAGTCACTTAAACAACGAGAATTAAAAGTAACTAAAACTTGTCTTTTGGCCGCGAAAAGACTAAACAACGAATATCTACGTGACCACGGGGGCTTGAGAATTCGGATCTAAGTGACTAAGCTTAACGTGTTCAGAGTAGTTTTACACGTTTTAGTGGTTAAGATAAACTTTCGGTAGCAATGCCACCCAAATGATGATAATATACGAACGAGTCTATTATAATCATTAGGGGTGTCATTTTTACCGAAACCCCTTAAACGTGTAAAATTACTCTGAACACTATAGTTTAGGTCCAAATATCGCTGGCAAAAAAATAGTATTATGTCTCCTGTGTACGTGGTAAATTCTTTAGGCCGACTGGGTTGTTTTTTTAAGCAGACGACGAGAGATAGCACTGATGTTAAACCACACAGATATCGGTCAACTGGTACTGGGGTCATATCATAGATATCTTCCTCGAAAAAGTATCGTTTCGAATCGTTTTGTTTGCCTGATCGCGATACACTCACGGTAATGAAATTATCAACAACAACAAAAATAACTCTAAGAGATGTGAAAAAGTACTAAGAATAATACAAAATATCCTATACATACAGATATGTAAATAATTAAGTTTATGACAACACTGTAAAACCCTGCACTCAATCATAATGAAGTTTTTTTAGCAGATACGTGTACCGTGATACGTATCGTAACCATCATACCGTGATATGTATCGTACCGTGAGTTATGTGCATCGTTTCAGCCCTAATAAATCCCACTTTAATTAACACCATTTGACATCGTGGGACTTTAGCTAGACTATAGATCCAGGAGGAATAGAGGATTTATCATTTTGTTTATCTCAACTATTAAGGCATTATGTAACAGAAGAGGGAAAATTCTTTACCATGTGCAAATGCACCTACTATGTGCAAATAAGTTTTCCATGCGATGGTTTGTTTTTATGTGCTGTATGCAAAGGTGCTAAAGCATGTGCTAGTGTGCTTATTGTGCTAGTGTGCTTATATTACCATGTGCTGATGTGCTTATCGTGTGCAATGTGCCTACTATGTGCAAAATGCTTTCCATGGTATCAATTTTTTTTCTGTGTTTACAGTACAGTAGTACATTTTTTTCAATTTTTCATGTTGTAATGTTTTGTCTCTGTTATTATACTCATGTTTTTTTGTAGAATTACAGGCTCTTTGTAACTTATGTTGTGTGTTTGCAAAATCGACGGAAAATAAATATTCTTTGTTTTTTGTATCATTGGCGCTCTACCAATTGAGCTTCCTGATCGCCGAGGATCGACCCAGCCCAGTTGCGCTATACATTCCTTCCTCCTTTTTCCAAGTCTTCGCCCCCGAAGCACCAACTATTTACCAGGTTCAGATATCCCCTTGCCAAGCATACACCAAATGTTTGAAACAAGGGTTAGTCACAGGCACCACTGTAACAGGAGAGGAAAAATGCACGGCCAAACCAGGTATCGAACCCGGGACCCCCCGAACTCTAGACGGACGCTTTACCAATTGAGCTATCTGGTTGCCAACGATTTTATAGCTTACTGTCAGTCTAAAGCAATGGTCAGACAGACAAAACACACTAATTAAGTTATGTATACCGCCGGGTCCCAGGTGAAACCTACTTTGATTAATCTTCACTGATTTGCAACAGATTTTCGCTTACGTCTCTCCTTCCACAGAAAACGATAGGGGAATTTTCCCCTTCTCTGGCTTAAAGAAAAATACGCTAAATGGCCATGTTGGGTTGGGTTGGGTGGGGGCTTTCTGGGGGCTTTCTGACGACGAGAGATGCAGAAGAGGCCGGGTATTAATATTAGTACTAGGTGGGGTGAGAGGAAGCTGAAGGCATCTCACCCGATACATAGCATAAGTTCTAATCAATGTCTCTGCGTTGTGTAAAAGTGCAATTACAGATATCTAATGTATATCTGTCCGAATCGCTTGCATTAAATGTTAATTGGTTATATATACCAAGACATCGCTGATAATTAAAACATAGTGTTCATTAAAAGTTCGTTAAAATATATATCGCTCACCTGTCCCTGGTTTGGCTTCTGTCGGCTAGTTTTGGTGACGGATGACCCGCTATCTGATTTACACCGACACCCGGATTGCATACCTGTGTCGTCTGGGGGATATAAGAGGGTTAGATAGTATGCAAACAATTACATGTTCTATCTGATGTAAGGCTATCACAGATACGGCGAAAAATTGCTGAATTTAACTTGCATGTTATTCCCGTGAAAACATACATTTCAATTATGAATTGTCTTTTTATAAAATATGATACCAATAATTCACATTTATAAGGTTTCAAAACAAAGTTACCGACAAAAGAAAATGAAAATACACTCATAAATGTTTCTAGTCTTGTTACATGGATATCTGCCTATAAAGATCAATTCAGGAATGTTCCGAACGTCTCACCCAAAATAGACACGATATCTGACCTCATTTTTAAGGTCGGCCTTGAAATAGGGGTAGAACAAATTACAGGGACCCGACATTGAAGGCACCGTAGGGTATCATTATAATACCTTAACTTTCGTGATGTGTATACGTATTGAGTTTTACTAGACTTTTAAACGAATAAGATAAACGCCTGTCAAAATAACTTCTCTTTATGACCGACAAAATTACCGGGGACCAACCAGCGAGAATTGCATTTTATGTTAATATACTTCTATTCAATGCACTTTAAAGAATCGCAATTCGTATAGAAATTTTAACCCACTATCTTTTACCTGAATTTTCTCTGTCCGGTGACTTTCTCCTCTATCATCCGTGTGTTAGTCTGAAAACCGAAACACTCATGCAAACCGACTCCCTCGAAAATTTCCGGGTGCAGGCTAACTCCCTCGGTAATTTCCGTAATTTCCTTGTTGAATTGACAGAGCGAAACACGTGTTAGATGGACGGGGCTTGTACTGACCAAGTCCCACCCACTTTATTGTTGTCGATCTTGAGACAACAGCGCAAACGATATTGGAAAACTATATATATATGACACTCTATAGGTTTGAGTGTAGCTTCTTAACCATGCCCTTGCATGTTGTATCAGTAAAAATCCGGTTTCCCAAGGCAGGATACACACGGAATTAAATCTATTTTGTTCATAGATGTTTACCAATTACAAATCGAGCTGTTGTATATATATATAGAAGAGAGAGATATACCGGAATGGAGATAGGAGAAAAAAAGGTAAATTGGGGAGGGCGATCTCAAACGATTGGGATAGGGGCTTATTATTGACCCATATTTAACATTCCATCTGTACCTCGACCGATTCGTTACTTAAAAGGGTAAGTTGAGGTGTGGGGGGGGGGGGGGGGCCNCCAACGATAGAGCATTATTGTACATTATTTTTTACCATATGTATTGAGGAGAGGACTGTATTAAGTTGAAATATTTGTACAATAAAATATGTTTAAACAAAAACGATAGGGCACAGGCTACCCTTTTCCAGAAATGGCGAATAAAATAGGAATTTGGTATTAATATACATGTATCTAGACTTATATCTAGATAGTAACACCACGGACATAGATGGTGTCACACACACTTTTTTTTAACTATTTTGCATTTGGTGAAAATGTGTTTACCTGAATATATACGTAGCGTAGTATAGTTTCTAACAAAACAACTCAAACATCGTTCCAGTTAAACGTTATGCCGTATTTGTTCTCTACCTAAGACAAAGAAACATATGCAATAATTATAAACATGCTTAATCACTCACACGTCTCTCACACAATGAGATAGTAGATATAACGTTGATAAAGTACGACGAATAATTAATTTATTATGTTTAAAATTAGATTATTTCATACTTACTTCACACAATTGGATTCTTACCAGGAACATACATGTCGATGGTTCCGTGTGTTACCGTCGAGCGGTAGCTATATACATGTATAGGCAGAGTGAAGTAGAGAGACGGCGGTGACTGGAATGTGGAATAATCCGTGCTGCACGTGCACATACATACATTCCGTCACACTGGCATTACATGTACGCCCGACGATTTAAATGATGTATTACAAACGAATTCCTTACTATTTTGGTGGTTTTTTTTGTTTGATATCGACCTATGGTCGTACTGGCGACCCGCGACCTAGTGGTGGAGGGCTAGGGGTAGCAGAATGTCAGACGCCTTAATCACTTGGCCATCGCGGCTCCTCGAATTCCTTATTCTAATAAGGGAATTTCTAATGAGAATTCCTTGTTAGAAAATGGCTCACGTTATTCATGTTTTATGTTCATCTTCTTCTGATGTGGTTATCTCCTGAAAAGATGTACATTGCATGTTTGAATTCAATTATTTTGACATATGAGTAAGTTACTCATAATGTCAAGTTGTACTAAACTGACATGTTAACGGTCCTAGCTTAGCTTTCACGAAACATGTTATGGGTTTTAAAGAAAATTATGAGACTGGGACATTTTAAATAAGATCATGGTCTAAAATATATCTGTTATATTATTATTTTCCTCAACTTATCCCCATAAAAAAGTATCGCTTAAGTCAAGTTTAAGGAACTAAAGCTTTACTGGTCGGGTCCCATCAATGCCACGGACTTAAGACTCTAATCTAATTCCGTGGTAATGCTAACGAAAGTTCGTAAAACTTGGTCTATGGTTTTCTAGCGGATAGTCGTGATAACAATTTCTTAGTCAAAGAATTTCCTAAGTATGACTTTTTTTCAAAGGTAAATGAAGTGTTGTTAGATGCCTAATTGTTTTTGTCGGTTATCTTTTGTTGTTGGTTGGTGTCGGTGTGGTTGCAATTAGTAATCCACAACTAACAAACGTTTCAGAGATTCTGGTATCTCCATGTCACTTAGAAGCTTGAACACGTGAAAGTTGTCAACATTCATTGGATCTGATATTATGGGGAACGAAAAGAAGAAAAGGGCCCCAAGAAACAAACAAACCAAACAGACATTGGTGTTTGATGATAACGCTAGATTGTAAGAACCATTAGTTATTTACGTAATCATTGTTAAATGATTACTTTTATTGTAACTCTATCCGATTAGGCGATACAACATCCTAACAGATTTAGTTGCCTTTCGTTTAACTTTCAGTGTGATAGGGCCTATACATCTTTTAAAGATGATTTTAGTGTGAAATTAGTTATTTTCAATTTCTCTTTCAGCATTTAACAGATATTCTAATATTCAGTTTGCATTGATGAAAAGAAAATGGTTTGAATATCAATGGGAGTAACTTCTGAAAGGGAGATAATATTGTGTACTAAATGAAATTGTGACTGTAAATTGAGATATATATCATGTACAAAAATAAGGGTATAACTATACTTTTTTTCTCTATAGCAATACACTTTTTCACGAAATAATTATCTCAATATAAAACATAAGGGTATTACTACACTTTTTTTCAATAGTAATACCCTTATTTTTTTAAATGATATATATATCTCAATTTACAGTCAGAATTTCAAACATCTTTGGTACTATGTTTGAAATATATCCATGACAAAGGTTCACAGGTTTGGAGTCAACCTTGTAAGAAGGATTCTTTACATACACGAAATATTGTAAATGTTAAATTAAGGCATCTAATTATTGTACTTCAATAGTGTTTAAGGTTTACATGGCGAGATACTTTTGACAGGCGCCGTGTACGCAAAATCACATCCCATATAAAAAAGGCCGACCACTGGCCTCTTATGTTATAGGAGTACTAATTAGTGTACATTAATTCATGTTGAATTCCTGTGTCAGTTTTGTTTTGTAAGTTTTATCAAACCTACAATCTCTTTTATTTTTTTAGTAGAACTGTACATGGTAGGTGATTTGGAGGTCCTGAGTTCCAGTCCTGTTGTATTTTCCCTTTCCTGTTACAGTTGGCAGAAAATTAGTTATTCCCATGGAAGTTGTCTACATGTTTATATGCTATCAAGTGTTGTGAGTCTTCAAAATATAATTAATACAGGTCCTGGGTTCAAATCCCAAACTGGTCGTTGCTCTTTCCAATTGCAATTGAATACATTATACATGTAATAGATTGGTCAGTCATGGTCAATTGAATCTCAGGTGTGTGTATCTATTTACTTATATGGGGCAAAGAAGTAATTCCAACAGTGTGGACAAGTTTAGGTTGTCAAATTTTCGGAGCGATCCGCTCCTTTTTCAAGACACAGTGAAACAGAACAGTTACGTGTACATATACATCATATTACAAGAAGATAGAATTGATATACTATAATTGAAAATATAGCTATTATATAAAACCAATAGTCCCCTCGGCTAAAGACAGCCGAAGGCAGCAATTAGGCTGAGAGCATCGCAGACAAGGATTTACTTATATATATAGCTTTTTGACTTTGAGAATTTGTGTAATATCTTAATTGTGTATTTTCTTAATTTCTAGGGAATTCCTGACAGGCTTTAGAAAAAGGAAAAATGAAAGACGCAAGAAGGCTAAAGACGAAAAGGAGATTCAACTCAAAGAAGATAGAAAAGAGTTTAAAAGAAAGGTAAAGTTATGCATACATTCTTACTGTAGGAGGAAGCTAGAGAACCCAGAGAAACACACACATATAGTCAGGCAAGTGATCACTCAATACCTTTTCACATCCAATCCGGCATTTGAACCCAGGCCATCTTGATGAAAGGTGAGTGTGTCATCCGTTGCACCACGACTGCCCTTTAACTTTTCAATATAGTGCTGCTCCGTGTTTGTCGCTGTATAGTAAAAACCTTGATATCATTCCCTTACGTCATTTGTCACCTCACTGCCAAGGTCTTCCTTTTTCTCACAATCTCTTTATGCGCCTCCCTTTGGATGTGTCACAAAACTTATCCATAATTGATAAATATTGAATTTGTACTACAACAACTACGGTAGACAACAATTATACTACACAGACAAAGTTTAACACCGACTTTTGACTTAAACTGATTTTTCTTTTACACAGAGGAAAGAAATGATTGAGAAGAGCTTCTTCTTCAAAGGCAGATCAAAACAGAAGGGTCCTGAACTTGACGACATTGGAAAACCAACAGTGACTGAACTGCCCGAGCACACGGTCACCATTACAGATATATCTGTGGTTGACATGGTGGGGCACTCCGGTCTACGACTTGGCCAAAACCAGGTACCTCATATGAGCCGAAGAAACTTGTTAAGTTGGATGAGATTAACTCATTCACCACTGAACACACATTTGAACTCTTCCAATTCAAAGCTTGGAATAGTTCATCATGACGTTTCAGGGGTGAATAGATAGGGGGAATCTCAACCTGAGGGGGAAGGTTCTTAAAATGCCAAATACGAGGCTTTCTGATTGTTTTGAAGCTGAAGGATTTTCCCCAGAGAGTGGAGATTCCCCATATCGACTCAAGGGGGTGAATGATTCTCTTTCTCTAACCCTTTTGATCCTGTCATATAAGTAATTAAATATGGACATTACAGGCTCATGCATGGTTGCCATGACGTCGTTGGATTGTTTATGTGATGTCATGCAATTGTTTTGGCTGGGGAATACCCTGTCGCGGCCCTAGGCAGAGACATTGATATCTCACACTGGAAAAAGTGAGAGAATACTCTGTCTGAGATTAGAGAAAATCTAATCTTTCGATTGCATTCGGTTTTCAAAATGCAGTTAGTTTTTCTCTCCAACTTAAAAACTGATGTTAGTTTTATCCGACTTAAAAACTAAAAGAATTCCAAAACACACAGGAGAATTGTTTTTGTCACTTGACATTGTCACACCAGAATTTGGTGTTAACAAATCCCTGTCTAGATGGAATAAATCTTTACACATTCGGTAGTTGAAGTTGTTATACCAAAATACCCCTATTGTCTCTTTGACTGACCTTGGATAATAGTTTGGTTCCCTTGAGTCTGGTCATCAACTGTAAGTATATTAACCTATATATCACTTTTTTTGCATAGTTTGAAGAGGACCAGACCTCAGGAACACTCCCACCAGTTGAATTTGATCCTAAGCAGCACGAGGCGCTGCAACGTAACATAAAGAAGCTGAAACGCAAGTAAGTATTCCACCAAACAGGTGTTAAACAACCTTGGATTACACATAAATGTGGAGTTTCTCCGGGTACTCCGATTTCCTCCCACATTAACACCCATGCATGCTAACACCTGGGGCAATAAGAGCGATTAATATAAGTTGTAATAACTTGTTTCATAATTGCTGTAAAAGAAAAACAACATAAATGTACTTACCGGTATGTATTTATATCATAAATCTTCATCCATGTTGCATAACTGACATAATAATTCAAATATTCAGTCAGTTGTACCTACCAGATATGGCTATGGCATTGTCTATTCATGTCAAAATAAATAGACATGAAGTCTTACCAGCATGAGAGACCAACCTTATTAAAAACGTTCCTCTCCTTTAGACCATTTTTGAGTTCCTGACATAAATGTGCTTAGTTTGAAGTTAAACCTTGTGGATAGCCCTACGATCAATACAGGAGTTCAACCACTTTCTCAGAATCCCCCCTTGCAACAAACTTGTCAGCAAATATTGAAGTGAACTGTGATATTCGCCTTCAGACACTACCCTGTAGTATTAAAATGGCGATCTGTTAAAGAATTGTGATAAATTTCATATTATCATTATATATTGTAATAACAGTCTTGTGTCTGGCCTGACGTACTTGCGCTAAAACCACACTAATATCATATCTAGTTGGTTAAAGCATTCGAGGTAAATGCACATATTTTTAACAAAATACCTATTTAAACAGGAAACTGGGTGAACAGAGATATTTGTTTAAGTACCGAAGCAAATAGAATTAAAACATGACTTAGTCGTAGTTTGACGAAGAGACCAGTCTGCCTTGAAATGTTGCGACACGTTTGATACACACATTGCTTGTGTATAAAATAAACTTTTAAATTACATATTTCCAAAATGATGAATCTTATTGAAGAAAAAATAACTAAACCATGTTCTTCTTAATACAGTAAGTATCTTATGAAATAAAAAAAACGTGTCATTGAATTTGTTTCTGGTATATAAGAATTATTTTTTTCCAATTTTACAGAGAAGTTGCCATGTTAAACAAAGAAATGCCCAAGAAAAGGTCTAAGCGTCCATCACAGATAGGTCATATCAAGGACAAGAAGTCACAGAAGAAATTCCAGATGAAGAAAACGAAGGAGAAAAATAAAAAAAAGGGGAGAAAGTAGAATACATGTTTGTTTTGTATATGTTAAGTTTAAGCCGCAGAATCAGTAACAAGATCTAAGCATGAGACTGAGATGACCTGATCTTGCTCTGACAGTTACAACCCGTCAATTTTTTTTCCGCGCCTGTTAGTTCGAAAAAAAACACCTATTCAATTTTGGTCAGGACTACAAGTATCCAGCCTGGGGCATCAAAGAAGAATGGCCTCTCCACGCGCCATACACTCCTTACAAAGAAGTATCGCCTCTACACATGCCATACCCTCCTTACAAAGAAGGATGGCCTCTACACGTGCCATACACTCCTAACAAAGAAGTATGGCCTGTACAAGAGCCATACACTCTTTACAAAGAAGTCTGGCCTCTACGCACGCCATACCCTCCTTACAAAGAAGTATGGGCTCTACACATGCCATTCCCTCCTTACAAAGAAGGATGGCCTCTACACATGACATACACTCCTTACATAGAAGAATGGTCTCTACACATGCCATACACTTCTTACAAAGAAGTATGTCCTCTATACGCGCCATACACTCCTTACAAAGAAGTATGGTCTCTACGTGCGCCATACACTCTTTACAAAGAAGACAATGTATTTCACAGTGTAGATTATATTTTATCTACAACATCAGATCACCATCAAAACAATGCATATCACGACAAAACAGAATAGTAGTAATGCAGGTTGTTGAATTGAAGTCGTTAACTCGCTGATGAATACTGCATGTACATTGCTGTGTGGAAATTATATGAAATGTCATGTAAAGGTACCAGACAGATCAGACGAGATAGAAAAAATGTGCATGGGGTGTGACATGGGATATCTCTGTCTGAGGTGCAAGAATAAGATCAGAAGACACTCATTTCCTCTTTTTAATTTTTTGGTTTTCACAAATTTATTTTCACCTAGAGGTCATATAAATTGTCAAAAAAATAATATAGCTATTATATGTAGATTATTTAAGATGTCTAAATGAAATTTGGATCAATTGGTTGTGTTATTCCAATCAATCAAGTTAACGGATGATCAGTCATTTTACATGCGACATTGAATAATCTAACATGATTTTCTATGATTTTCTATTCATATGTCGGGAAAACTTCCAAGAGTTATTGAAGTTTAGAGCAGATCTGAAAACTGATTAAATCAATAATTAATAGGACTCGACTGCAGTCATTCTGATTTTGTTAGGGGAAACAACACTGCATAAGATTATCATGGATATCTCATGGAAATAGGACAACTTCGGTCATCTTGGATGTCAGTAGCGAAAATCACAGTGTAATTAGATCATTGTGGATATCGAGCAGAAGTCGGACAGCTGTGGTTGTCCTGGATGTCTTGAGGAGAAATCACACCGCATAAATCATCATGGATATCTTTTGGAAATCGGACAACCGACATGATTCCGATGGGGAAATCACACAACACAAAGATCATTTCTGGATCTCTAGTGTAAATATACAACTTTGGATCACAGTGTCAGATCATCATAGATTTCTGGTGAAAATAAGATAAAGATCATCTTTCCACATCTGGGGAAAATTTGGTCAATATGATTACTAAAAATAGTGTAACAGGAAAGAAAATAGTGTGCTTCCACCGGGGATCAAACCCTCGATCTCCAGGTTCCTAGTCAGACGCTTTACCACTGAGATAAAGGGAAATTCCCTCTAGCTCGAAGCTGGAAGGTGACCTTAATCCTATGTACAATTAAAACCTGCCACACTCCTCCCCCCTTTTTAAATGTGTTCGCCCTCAAACACCACAACCCAGGTTGTAACTACCTGTCACCACACGGAGGGACACGGACACCATTTGTAACAGGAAAGAGAATAGTGTGCTTCCATCGGGGATCAAACCCTTGATCTCCAGGTTCCTAGTTGGAAGCTCTACCACTGAGCTAAAGGGAGATTCCCTCTAGCTGGAAGCTGGAAGGCACCTTAATCCTATGTACAATTAAAACCTGCCACAATAGCTATTTACTGGTGGAGGCATATGTAAGTCCTCTTATACTTATTTATATCAAGAATCATCGATTCATCCTGTTCCAAGCATAGAAATCAGATGGTCCATGTACAGCTTATAAGTCAAGATCTTTGAAGTATGTGAAATCCTAGCTGTTAAATGTGAAATATTTTCTCCATCTTTATTGAGCTATTTTTTTAATAAAATATGTGCTCGTGTTTAATTTTGGTTTTGCATTTAATTAAGATATCTTTTTGGTCAAAATCATGAAAATTGTCTACATATTTGTTCTTGACTGTTGTACAGAAGATTATATAACCATCAACCCATTCAACTTTATCATCAAGACAAGAATCATTTGTGTCAGAGAAAAAAGAAAAAAAACATGTATTTTTTAATTGTTCTGTTTATTGAGATTCGGGTACTTGACAATGACCACATACAAATGTAGTGTAAGAAAAATTACATCAAACCTAAATATGGTATACATCCTCGATACTTGAGGGGTTACGCTCGCTTTCGCTCTGCACTCCTGTAATATGCCATAGCATAAATAAATCCAAAGCATGCAGCTAGCTATTTGATTGGTCTCAGGTTAAAAAAAAAAACCTGACCAATCACTAAGCTGAAAACTATTCCTTGAAGATTAGAGGAGTGACACCCGACTCCAAAGCCGGTCAATTTTACCGTTATGCGACCGCGAGATGGATCAAACTATTCTTCTTGACTCATCCTCAAGGTGGCGCACACTGAACGAGCCTTATACATTAAACCCCTTGGAGTATCGAGGATGACGGCATATATATTCAACATAACTGCTGACACACGTTGTGTGATTGAGGACGAAAAAATGATTCAACAGTGTAATATGTACAATCATATTTATATAATTACATATAGAAGTCATCACTGAAAATTACTTATTCTTTTCCAAAAATAGATGTACCGTTAAATTTCAGAATTTAATATGATCACAACTGAAATATATAATATCAAATACTTTTTCATATTTCAAAAAAGTTCAAAAAAGTTATTTTAGATCTGACTGTTTACACATCTTTGTGCTTCATTCAAAATAAGATCTTTTAAAGTACATTCGAAATGTTTGCATTTTTTTTGTATATTTTTGAAACTTATTCAGGCAATGGCAAGAAATATTTTTTAACGTCGCAGCAAATTTTCAGTAATAAACAATAGATTATTTGATATTTGTCATAAACATACGTATAAAGAGGGCAACCCTTGTGTAGATAAAATATGTAAATCAATATTATGCTTATATCATAAGATGATGATGATATCAATGACGTGTACATACAAAATAACACACTTTTCATATATACGGATACAGTAACAAGAGGAATGTACACACAGAATTATACACCGTGGCTGGAGTTGTTTATACAAAGTCATCATATATATCACAGCAAGTTAGCACTTAAGTCACCTAGCCTTGACAATCAACCAGACTGGTATTTACAGCTATTGACAGAGTATTTAATCCAGATTAAAATCAGATCCAAATTTAATTTGATTCTCCTGGAATCGGATTGATGATGAGTGAAAATGCTAAGAAGCTGAAACGTCTAAGATTAGACTAACAATTCTACATAAAAAGATGTGTATCATAATCCAATAACATTGCACCAAAGTAGAAAATTCCTTCCACTTAATATCATATATCATATTCCTGTTAATATCAATTTTTAATCAACGGGTACCATGGTATATATATTGTATGTAGTAACTGGTAAGTTTGTTAAACTCATTCACCCCTGAAATTTCATAATGAACTATTCAAACCTTTGAATTGTCAGATTTCAAATGTGTTTTCAGGGGTGAATGAGTTAATATCATCTAATTGGACCATCAACTCCTTTTAATATCATGGTCTACACCAATTCTATTTACCAAAATATCACACATAAAAATAAATCTCACAGGCATAGATCTTTGAAATTAGAAATAAATGGTGACTTCTCGAAATGAATGTAATGGGTCTTTTTTTTTCAAACTGCTGTAAACCAACAGACAAAATAGCTGTTGAAAAGGGGTCTTCGATGATATCGGGGATGGGTATAAGTTGTATTTAAAATCTCCACTTATTAAAACATTATAGGTATACACATGTAGGAACGTATTTTCAAATTCTATACTTCTGCTTTGTTCGCACAGAAAAGCAGTGTTTCTGTTAATAATCTCAACTTTCTCTTTGTATCACATTTCCTTCTGATAAAAGGCACATGATATTAAAAGGAATGTACTATATAGCTATAAGATATAACATAATGTCTACTATATAACATATAAGATAATTTCCAAACATTACTGATGTATAATCTCAAACCTAAACATGATCTGATTGGTCATATGTTTATTGGTTTATACTGTTACATAAACTTATAGCAATTTTGTCAGTATGTTTGTGTGCCAACATTTGTTGGAGTCAATACATGCGTGTGTCAGGGTTTTTTTGCTTTTGATTTATACTGGCAAAGCAAGACTATTCTGAGGTATTACTATACAAACTTCGGTGAGATGATTAAATTTAGGAATAAACTCATGAGATTGGAAAAATAATTCATATTTCATATCTTAAATATCTGGTTTATCCTATATATAAATGTGTGAAGAAATAACTAACCCTTTCCTACCAAATGTATTATAATTTGATTGTAACTGATAGCCAGGCCTTGGGATGACAATAAAGTCACACAGTGTAACTGCAAATTTGTACTTCAGAAAATTCTGTACTCTCACTACTGCATTATATCCCATTAAACTGTCATTAAAACTCCATTAATTTTTCCAATTAAAATTACATCACATTCCATTAATTTTTGTCATTAAATTTGGTATTAAGATTTGTTAAAAGTGTGCATGGTTGAGGTTATCAAAATCCATTAATGTGAGTCTAAAGTTCATTATATCAATTTATCTTAATGGTCATATAAATAGTAATGATATATAACACCTATTAATGGTCATTAAATTGTCCAATTAAATGTCATTACAATTCCATAGATCTGTTAAGCATCCCGATGATGAATCATATAGCCATTAGAAACATGTAGATTTCATTGAAATTATTGAACTGTTCTTATGTGTTGAGATTCCTTCATCCCTCCATAAAAATTTTTTTTTTAGAAAAGTTACAGAATAAAGAGATTCTTTCTTTCACCAATCGTTTTATTGTATTGATAACTACACCTCACTTGTTGGGGAACATCTTTATATATATATATATATGGGTGTAAATTAATTAACATTCAAATATATATGAAAAACAGACAGATCATTATCTTCCTAAGTGTATAATATTTATGTATTGATATTTTGAGATTATACCATATTTATCCAGCAATAAGCCCATGCCTGGTAATAAGCTCATCAAAATCTACTGTAGTTCAGTTAAGAAACACAAACAAATGCTATTTCAATTGACAATTCCATAATTTAAAAAAAAATAAAATCTAACCTACTTAATAATAAACTTCTACATAATAGAAGGCATATTTGTACATAATAATAAGAGATTCTGCTCCTCTGTGTTGGAAACTAGCTTTTACCGTACTTGCCCACCAATAAGCCCATCCAAAATATTGCATTTCAGTAAAGAAAATCGAAACAAATGCTATTTCATTGTCGTTTTATTAGCCCATCCCTTACTTTGAGTGAGAGACTAAGACTATCTGTTGGCCCCCTGGGCTCATTGCAGGATGTAGACGGTAATCACGAAGACCTTAAAGGCTTCATATACAATTTAGAAATAACGCATGTATCACTAAACCAACATCTTAACATGTACAAATTCCGTGATGAATCCTCTAGTTAGAATACTATCATCAAATAAGTTACTCGTTGTAAACACAGTCATTTGGATGGAACGTCTGATCCTTTAGGATCTGTATATATACGGAAAAACGAAGCACAACAATATTTAAATACAATCTGTATTAACAAACATACAATGGCAACAAACTGTAAAGAAAGAAAAAAAATGCTCCGCATTCATTAAAATCTTTAAGACCTTTGATGTTATATATTGTCCATTGTTGAATTTCCCACCTCCTATGTACAGATTGTACAATTTTGATCAACAAAAAAATAAAATATTGACATCAGCTTTGACAACAACCCTGCACCCTGTGTAAATATAAATGGGATGCCACACTACTTCCTGTTTTACAGGAATACAAATTCATCGTAAAATATATAATATATAATTTTTCCAATAAATACAAATAGAATTGAATTCAGTATATACGTATCAAATACAAATTGCCAAAAAAAAAACATTGGAGTGGGGAAATCTTGCAGGGGGGTATTCCATAAATAAAAGTATGGGAGAGGCGGGTTAAAGTTTTTTTTCATAAATCTACTTCCCACCCATCCAACTTCAATAGAGAAATGATAACAAGTAATTACTTCTAACAGTTGGTAAATTTGGGATTACTGGCATCAACCAATATTTATCAAATAAAGTGCCCTCTTCCCCTCCTGTGTTTTTACATTTGGGATAGCCCTTATTGAAAACATTAATATACAATAAACAACCTAAATAAGTGAAAATACAAAATAATATCTATATACAATTATCATTATAACAAATTATTAACCGTGCACGCAGATCTTTAAAAACAGACTTCCTGAGTACAGTAAAGAATAAAGAGAAATAATAAAGACAACAGAAAAAACAAGTTCTACTGTACGTTACCTAGGATACCAGTCATTTGAAATATCAAACCAGGAACATTTAACAGTTTGTTTATTGCTTGTTAATGTAAAGAAATAACAAAGATGAGTAAAACGAAAAAGTTTTACTTAAAATAGAAATATCGGAAACCAGCCCTTCATAATATCAAACGTGACATATATACTGCTTTGCTGATTGCTTTAATTGTGTCTCGTAAAGACTGACGGAATTTGCTTAAAAAAAACACCCAATTCAACCAGTGCAATTGATCTCTTAAAATTGAAAATAAGAGTAACTGTTAGAGAAAGTTGTAGATAATTTGCAGAGATGTAATAAATTACAGGTCTTGTTGTCCGAACATCGTAACAACCAGCAACTTTTTCTATTATATTTTCAAAATACTGAAATTCAAAACTTCACAACTATTTAAACAACCAACCTATAATTTAACCCATTTACCCGGATAGACCATAACTTTGGTAGACTCTACCATGCATTTTTCAGGATCAAGGTCTTTGCTGAATGTAGCACGGAACTGTATAGGTGTGTGAATTAGAAAAAACTGCCAGCTAATCAGATCTAGCTGCCTGGATACTATATACCATTAACCCTTTCAACACTATGTAACTTTAGTAGACTCTACCAAGCATTGATCTGGATGAGTCCATTATGGTCTACAGACGTGAAAGGGTTAAGTAACCGAATATTGTCACAACTGCAAGAATTTAGTATAAGCATTTTCATAAATTTAAGCCACTCCCTTTAATGGCTACCCTGTCATGGGAAGGCAGTCAATTTACCCAAAGAAACTACCTGTGTTAAGAGACCCCTTTTAAAACTCCCTATTTTAAATCGAAATTTTCCTGTTAACCCTTTCACCCCTATGTAACTTTGGTAGACTCTACCATGCATTGATCTGGATGAGTCCATTTTGGTTACAGTGGTGAAAGGGTTAACTACACCTGTATCAAAGGACCACCTGCAAATGGAGACCACTTTATTGACTAATCAAAGCAGTCAAATTGACTCAATGGACCACCTCGTTAAAGGACCAACCTGTTTTGGAAAACTCCCTGTTTTATGTTGATTAAACTTGTATTAAGGGACCACCTGCAATAAGAAACCTTTATATGGGCTAACCAATGCAGTCATACTGAATCAAGGGACCACCTCTATCAAGGGACCACCTCTATTAAGGGACCACCTCTATTAAGGGACCACCTGTCTTAAGAGACCACCTCTATTAACAGACCACCTCTATTAAGGGACCACCTCTATTAAGGGACCACCTCTATTAAGAGACCACTTATAAAAATCACCATTGCATCAATTTTTAAGTCAAATAAACTTGTATTAAGAGACATCCGAGTCCAAGATCATTTTTGCTGAAGTAATAACACTTATATATCAGAAATTTAATGTAACAAATACTGACAGATTCTTACGAGTATTGTTAATATCATCTTAATGACAATTTTTTTGCAACAAAGTTCAGTCAAAAATGAGCCCATGTTTGCTATTAAGCCCTTAATACACAAATCGAATGAGAGGCTGGATGCTTCTTCGCTACTCCTTGTATCTCCTTTAAATTATCAATATGTCATGTGGTGATAAACAAAACTATTCAACTGATTTCTTCATTTTACTACATTTTTCTTAAATAATCACATACATGTACTGGATTTTTTTTTAAATCCTTCAAAAACCTTTTATTTGAATGAAATCAAAAAAATAATTTCACTGCTTCCGATTTGTCCAAACGTCCTTTTTTCCTTACACATTAATTATATAATATACCCACATTAATTTTGCACTCGACACATAGAGAGATTTTTTTTCTTCTAAATGAAATCTCTATTTCTTTGTGTTTTGTAGGAGCAATTTAGTAAGAGAAGTAAAAAGAGGTAAGAGTTGTCAAAATCTGATGGGATATTTTTTAAAACAAATCTCAAAAACAGATGACTGAATTAGGTGGGATAGACAAATGGTGACTTGGGCCTATCACAGAAACTGTGATATACCTACCACAGTAAAAATCTCATTATAATGCCCCTCATTTCGTTAGCCGCCTCGGTACTAATTGCACATTACTAAGAATTGTTTCTCATTTTTTTCAAATAAATATAAAATGCCGTTTTTTCATTTTGTTACGATGTTCATTGACAACACATTTCTAAATCCCCATTTTTGGATTTTTATACGCAATTCATTTTTGTCTCCCTCTCTATATTGACAATATTCCGATATAACGCCAATTTTTTTTATGGGGAAATGAAAGAAGCAGAACATGGTCTTAGTGTACTGAGTTTAGAAAGGAAAAACCATATGCTAGTTTGCTTCTAATACTTTGCAAACTAAATAAATAAAATCTGCATGACATCTACACAATAGTCAACACATGACAGATACAAACAAAAAAATATTTTTAAATACTTCAAATGCGCACCATTTTTTTTCTTTTTACATATTTTATAGCAATATTTAAATTTTAACACTGTGTGTGTGTAGAAATATTCTCCAACATGAATAAAAATATGATCTCATCAGGATTATTAAATACAGTTCTTTACTTTTTTTACATCAAGACATTTGACATAACTTTCTGTGGGCTTATAATCACCCCTGAAATTTCATAATGAACTATTCCAACCTTTGAATTGGAAGAGTCCAAATGTGTGTTCAGGGGTAAATGAGTTAAGTATTTGGTCCCTGCTTGGTTCGAACTGTTGTCTACCCAAGGATTTCTATGGTGTGTTTGTTTTAGTGGTTCATGGTAAGACCCACTTGGTCTACATTCAGAGTGGCAGCACTGTTGTACGGGTCCATATCGGTGTCCTCTTTCAGGGGACAGTAGTCAAAATTGGTTTGCTCTCCAGCATCGGGACTTCGCTCCGGCAATCCAGATATCTATAATCACAGAAAATTATCATGTTTTCATATCTTCATCATTTGTTTTTTGATAAAAGAGTAACTGAGGTCATTTTATTCGAAATGTATCAGTCTGCTAGTGGTAGCTGTGTTGAACCACGCAGGCTACCTTGAAATATTCCAAACTGATTCATCATTCAAACAATGTATCAATCAAAATATCTCTTCAGTTACACTCAGAAAGTTGAATACTCGGACATATTTTATACAAATTTGTTGTGCATGCTGTTTCCATTCATGCATGGAATGCATCACAACTGCTTTTCCTATAATCAGGTAAAGCCCGCCAAATGTGCATACTGTTATAAAAATATCAATATTAAATACCACACATTTCTCCTACATCCTAATTGGTTGGATTGTGATATTGACATGGTGTTACATTTTTTTTAGAAACATCAGGTCAATATTCAATTTATGACGTTAGTTCAATTGTAACGTCACCATGCTCTCTGCCAGAAGAAGTGATTTCCTCTGTACAATTTTCAGACATGTTAGCTTGTCTAATGATTAAAACATTATTAAGCATCTAACAGCACACTTAAGGACTTTTATTTTGGTGAATATGTGGTTATATGGATCTGAGAAAGTGAATATGACCCTCGACTTCTTCTCGGTCAATATCACTTTCTAAGGTTCATATAACCACATATTCACCTCAACACAAGTCCATAGCTGTTAAATATTGCCTTTACACTCTGTCAACCTACCTGCACCTGCCCACTACTTCCTGGCATACCATAATGTGGGTTCTCAAATGCCACAGAATCTGGCCTTGAGAAGCCTTTTAATCCTCCCCTTTTCCTGAAATTAGAAACAATTTGTCAGATTCAAAATATAACCAGAGAGAGATCTTTTGTATGACAAAAAAAAGAAAAAACATTTTTAAAAGTTGAAAATTAAAAGATAGTAAAACCTCAATATAATGCCCCTGGTTTATACGCAGTAATTAAACCAGACTTTCATATTAGTGTCATTGTATGAAATAGGCAGTCAAGTTACTTAAGGATCTCTGTGCCACTTTCTAAAACTACTTAAGCTTTGGAAACTGTTTCCCACATGACTATAACAATATTAACTTATTTCTGAAAAGAAAACTATACCTTGAGAGACTCCATTCGGATTGACATGTCTCGCCTGTGCCCTGCTTTGACCATCAATGCACATATCAAGTTTGGTTGGTCTAGCACTTATAGTTTCAGAGAAACTAACTTAAGCACAAAAACTTAATGTTGATGGAGATGCCGACAAAGTCAATGGACCATGAAAGGTAGGCCGCATACAGCATTTGATGCATGGGTCAAGGTGTACTACCTAAGATGATGATCTGTAGTCCAAGTTTGGTAGGTCTAGCACTTATAGTTTCAGAGAAACTAACTTAAACACAAAAACTTAATGTTGATGGAGATGCTGACAAAGTCAATGAACCATGAAAGGTAGGCCGAATCCAGCATTTGATGCATGGGTCAAGGTGTACTACCTAAGATGATGATCTGTAGTCCAAGTTTGGTAGGTCTAGCACTTATAGTTTCAGAGAAACTAACTTAAACACAAAAACTTAATGTTGATGGAGATGCTGACAAAGTCAATGAACCATGAAAGGTAGGCCGAATCCAGCATTTGATGCATGGGTCAAGGTGTACTACCTAAGATGATGATCTGTAGTCCAAGTTTGGTAGGTCTAGCACTTATAGTTTCAGAGAAACTAACTTAAACACAAAAACTTAATGTTGATGGAGATGCTGACAAAGTCAATGAACCATGAAAGGTAGGCCACATCCAGCATTTGATGCATGGGTTGACACATACTACTGAAGATGCATTTTTGGTTCAAGTTTGGTTGGTCTAGCACTTTTACTTTTAGTGAAACTAACTTAAACACAAAAACTTCATGTTGACACCACTGCCGTCGCCGTAAAAGCAATACCTTAGTCTCGCTTCCATGACTTAGTGGCGGCAAGACAAAAATGTATATTTGTTTGTCAACACAAGTAGGTAAGTGATGAAGCATCAACACCAAGGATTCCTTTGGTGGAGCTCTGCTAGCTAGAATACTCCGGTATCCACCGCAGATTCCTCGATCAGTACATCAACCAACCACGACCCACAGAACGTTGGATTTCCTGGCCCAATAATTGTATTGGCGTACCAATACCTTTATTTATTTGGTGGGACGTCGGATCTCCTGGCCCAATAATTGTATTGGCGTACCAATACTTTTATTTAATTGGTGGGACGTTGGATCTCCTGGCCCAATAATTGTATTAGTGAACCAATACCTTTATTTATTTATACGTTTCTCTGTAAATTGAACCTGTACAATCTGGCAACCTGTATTATTTACAATGAATATAGATATCTTCAATGCGTTTTACTTCATATAGGTTTCCCCTGCTTAATTTACTTTGTGGTATGTATATATGTCCCCCTGGTAAAATACTAGCTGCTTCCTACCGACTCGGCTAGGGAGAATTTCTCTTTAGCTCATTCCGTAGAGCGTTAAGCTAGTAAACCAGAGGTCCAGGGTTCGACTCCTAGCAGAGGCATTGAAAATACTTTAGCCTCTGTTATATTGGCGCCAATGTAAGGACTCAGGAGATATGACAAAATACTCAGCGATACTTGCAAAGGAAATACTATGACATCTGGAAAACTCAGGACGAGTTCTTTCCTGGAGGGGGTATATGTCACCCTGGTAAAATTCTAGCTGCTTCCTACTGACTCCGCTAGGGAGAATTTCTCTTTAGCTCATTCGGTTGAGCGTAAGACTAATACACCACAGGTCCAGGGTTCGACTCCTAGCGGAGGCATTGAAAAATGATGACCTCTGTTACATATAAAAGAGCTTCATTCTCACCTGATAAACAGGACACCCAGCACTACAGCCGTCACAACCACCAAGATAACTATGATCACTCCGACCACTACGCCAGCATTTGGCCCGCCTTTTTGTCCTGCTGCAGTCACCTTAGGTGCTACATTAACAAACAAATTAACATTATCAACTTTCAAATTGATCTTCATTATGACATGTTACAAGTTAACATCATTACATTATATAGCTGGATATTTTGGACCCCTGCAGGAGATTCCATCAAAAAGGGCCGGATTAACAGCAATATCATAATACATAATAAGGGAGATATTTTGCATCCCTTGAAGGACACCAGATCAAAAAGTGTGGGATTATAAAAATGAGATGCACCTTTTGACAGTAGGATATAATATGGTTGTCAGCTTAGAACAGAGCGACTTTGACCCGTAGACTTGTGACCCTAAAATACGAACTCATCCAAAGTTTTCTTATACCTGACCTTCGTCAAAGCTTTGAGAAAATCTGATGTCAAAGTGTCACTTTCTACACAAACAATGTACGTATAAAACGTGTCGCAACGTTTCAAGACCGACTGGTCCCTTCGACTGCCATAGCTTGACAAAGGGACTAGTCGGTCTTGAAACATTCCCACACATTTAATTACGTACATTGTTTTTGTAGAAAGTTAAACTTTGATATTACATATTTCCAAACTGATGAATCTTTTCGAAGATTTGAGAAAATCTGTCGAAAAAATTTCAAGTAGGTAGAGCAATGACAATGAATCCACCAGAACGATGTGACCGAACGAACGAGAAAGACATGGTAACACAACCCCCCACCACCACCACCACCACCACCACCACCACACCAATTTTTAGAACCCGGGAGGGGAGGGGGGTTTGGTGTATAAAAATTTAAGGTAGGCAGGCACTAATGTTAACAAACTCCTTCAGTTGAATATGGAATGGGGGTTTTGTATTTTCCTTTCTTTGTTTGAACTATAACCTTTGATGAGTTGCTACCTCTCCCGAAATGGTTGTTCGCAGCCACTTTGATGTCATAGAGTGAATCGTAATTCAGTCCCGTTAGGGTCAATGTGGTATCTGTCGTGGTTTTCTTTAACAAAAGCAGTATTGGAAACATTAAACAAATTAAAAGTATCATACAATTTTTGAATATGTCTCATAATAATAATAAACAAATCCAATCTGGTTGATTTGAGAATCAGGATCTGTGTCATGTTTGATTTGAGAATCAGGATTTGTGCCATGTTTGTTTTGAGAATCAGGATCTGTACCATGTTTGTTTTGAGAATCAGGATTTGTGCCATGTTTGTTTTGTGAATCAGGATCTGTGTCATGTTTGTTTTGAGAATCAGGATTTGTGCCATGTTTGTTTTGAGAATCAGGATTTGTGCCATGTTTGTTTTGAGAATCAGGATTTGTGTCATGTTTGTGTTGAGAATCAGGATCTGTACAATGTTTGTTTTGAGAATCAGGATCAGTCCCATATTCGGTTTGAGAAATCAATGATTACTTTCTGTTTCATACATCCTGGTTGAAACGGTTTGGGTACTACAGAAATATTCTGCAATTAACAAACACCCTTGGACCAATAGTTAGCTGACCAAATAAACAGAGTTCAAAATGCAAAGTGCTAGACAAATAAACAACAAAAAATAAAAATAAATATGTTGGTTTCCATATGTACAAAATGGTTTAACATGTCTAAAAATACATATAAGTTAATTGATCTTGTAGAAATAATCCAAACTAGCAATTGTCAGCATCTAAGTTACAGACAGGCATGCCTGAACCCCTTAATTCATTCAACCTCAAAGGTTGAAATAGTTCATTATGAAATTTCAGGGATGAATGAGTTAATATCCAAGCAGAATTTCAAGATGTCAGCTTTGGTTCAAATCGTTTTCTTTCAGTTTGAAAGACGGTTGAACCGGAAATGCAAAAGTAGCTAATGTGAGAACAGAATTTGGACCATGTTTGATTTTAGTAATCGGGGTCTGATTCATCTTTGTTTAGAAAAAAATCAGGATCTAGCTAGGCTATGTTTTTTCCTAAGAAATCAGAGCCAGCCTTTTTCTTTCTAGTTGAAATGGTTAAACCGGACACGCAAAAGTGGCCAAAGTGAAAACAGTATCTGTATCCTGTTTACGTTTAACAATCAGGGTCAGGTTCATGTTTGAATTGCACAACCAGGATCTGGAATAAGTTTTTGCTAAGAAATCAGCCTGGTACAGTGTTTGTTCAGAAACATCAGGGTGCATACCATGTTAGAGGCGCCGTTCGTACTGAAATAAACGGTGTAGTCTTGCACAGGTCCCTTGTCTGGAGCCGTCCACGTCAACACAATCTGGTTATAGTTCTTCAGCGTTCCGCTAAAAGCTAGCGGCATAGATGGCGGGATACCTGGAAACCAAAAAGGGTGTTACAATCGTCTCATCATAAAACTTTTAGAAAGTTGCTAGCTGTAACCTGTACATGATATAATTAGCGTAAAAAAAAAAAATCACTCTAACAGCGAGTTTAAATGGCTCTGCAATTTGATCACAGTATAATAAAGTAATTTATGTTTAAAGTAATAACTAATGCTACATCCTTATGTGTAACTGTGTATACCTGCTATGGTGAGGTTCTTGCCATACCCGGGTAGACTCTGACCAGCCTTGTTTTTAGCGATGACCCAGAATCTGTAGGAAGTGATCTCTGCATGCTGCAGTGACCAGGTGTAAGTATTGTTGGGCTGCGGATAGCAAAACAAACAATGATAAACAGATTTATTCTATTAACTCATTCACCTCTAAAATTTCAAAAAGGACTATTCCAACCTTTGAATTGGAAGACTTCAAATGTGTTTCCAGGGGTGAATGATTCTTTATTTAATCCCTTTCACCCCACCAACCCCTTCCCCACCTTTTTCACTCTCGACATTTAATTTTGAACACTGTAAAAACCACTCAAATTCTGTGAGAAATAAATGTCCCTGCTGGCTTTAAGTTGCTTCTATTGTGTTTCATCTCAACATGCAATTACTGTAAAAGTGTTTGTTTTTCACTGACCCAAATCTTCGCAGATTTGCTAAAATGGTAAATTTTACCAGATCTGTCCTTTGCAGATTTCAGGTTTAGTGGTCATGGCGCAATGTGCTATGGTAAGGATTAATTAATTTGCTATCAAATTCACAGGTTGAATTTTGTAAGAGGAACAATTGTTACAATGTTAATCGCCAGAACTAAGTACCCAACAAAACAAAAAAAAATAACAGTAGAAGGTACTCGACACAGAGATGTGATTTGTCCAATCAGCTTGAGAGACCAAGCCTATTAAACAATCTTCTCTCTTAAGAGACCACCATCTTCTCCTCCCCCCAAATCAATTATATACTCATATCAAGAGACCACCTACGTTAATAGACCACCTGTAATGTTCCCCATTGTAGTAATTTCAACATACATATATACTGTAAACTTACATATTTTAACGCACTCAAATTTTATCACAATATTTAATTTAAACAGATTATCCCATCTATGAATTGGCGCATCAAGAAAATATGCCATAGAAAATAATAAAAGAACTTCAATCGGCATATTCATAATTTAGCCCGATATTTACAGCGCGAAAATCTCTAAAATAAGACTACCACTAAAATATGTACGGTTACAGTATCCTTCAGCCCTCGACAGGTAGTGCTTTCAATGGAATATCAAAACCCCACTCCAGATTAATCTGTTACATTTCCAATGGAGATTTACTTATTGGTACTCACCACAGAATGGTGGTCAGTCATGTTGTATTTGTAGTTGTACCAGACCTGGTAAAGCTCAACTTTGTTTTTGTCGGTGGGCGGGTCCCAGTTCACTTCTATAACGTGACCCTTCAACAGTGCCACGACATTCAAGGGTGGGGACGGTATGTTTTCTGTGGACGATAAAATTGGACAGAATGCCATTAAAGAACACCTGTAAACACCTTTATTTTACTTATTAAAGCTTCCTTTGACAAAAGTACACTTCATATAGTCCCGGAAAAAATTAAGTTCCAAATTTTCTTGGATTATGAGTATACACACATGCACACTCCATTATAATGTGTACCAGGACATTTTTACCACAGCTTAACTTTTGCCTTTTCCTTAATCTGTAATGTTAGGGTGAATTTATTATTAAAGCAAACATCAGAAAACATTAAAATAAACATATTACATGTAATGATGAAATGTGACGGGCAAATATAAACACTGAGCGAATACAGATTTAATAGCTTAGGGTAAAAAAGATTGACTAGGCGAAGATGTAGAGCATATATAAAATAAAATAAATAACACAAAAGACATCCAGTGACAAGTCAATAAACTGTAGCTGCAGACCGAGGCCTGTTTTCATGAAACCGTTTTTCATGCTCAAGCATGGATTTTGTGCTCAAACCCAATTTCTTGTTTCAGTGACAAATTAAAAAAACAAATCTTATTCTGTCAATGAATTGGAGACTTAAATAAGAATACTGTTTTGTTGTTTATATTTGACTTTTTGATTGTTTGACATGATTTTAGCAAGTTACAAGAAAGCTAGTTTGAGCACAGAATCCATGTTTTAGCATGAGAACAGTTTCATGAATATGGGCTCGAATGTCCCCACACCTTCTGGGCATAATTCTAGTGTTATGAGATTTCTAACAGTTCATGTATAAAATTTCAAGTACGGTAATAAATCTGACAAGTAACCAGTAAAAGAACGATAGGATGAGTAGAGTTCTTACCTAGACCCTCCTCTATACAATTCAAGATAGGTTCGACTTGGTCGACGCACTGATAGATGGTCGAGTCATCTATGTCGGGGACAACATTTCCGCAAAAGTCCTGGCAGAACGGCGACACACCATTCTTCTTGCAGCACTTGGTGTGGTCCTTACCATCTGTAACAAAACCATATTGATGGTCTTAAGGATCCCTGTCCCACTGCAGGCAAAACACTAGAGAGTTCCACTGTGGGTTTTTTTTTGTATATATATAGAGTAACTTCCCCTTACTTTTGTTTTAGATAAAACTGTACATGTGGCACAATTGGGTAAAATTACTTCCATTGGTAGATCAGCCTGTCAGAGCAACAATAGAACAATCTGAGGTCCATGAGTTATCAAAGCTGTAGTCATGCCATGCCGGTTAAATCAGTTTCCATAGTGTTACGTTACAATTTTTGGCAGTGGTACAGGGATCCTTAATAGCTGAGGCCTCTCACAGGACAGCATTATTGAAGTTAAATAAAAATTCATTCAAGAAAGCTTTCCTAAGAAACAAATATAATATTTTTTTATGAAACTGGGGGCTGAAATTAACACAACGTATAAGAAAAAAACCATAAAATTAGTACCAAGATGCATCGGAATTCTAGTGAACCAGAAATCAGAATTTTGTCTAGTATTTCTTGTGAACTGCACTGGCATATCCAGGGATTTCTCACAGATTCAGGAACCCCTAAACCCTTGTCAGATTATTTTTTGCACATTTTTCTCATTGGAACTCCCTCCGACATTTTTGAAACCATCCACCCCAACACACACCAACCAATCTCTAGATTTGCTATTACACTAATGTAGGGGAATTGGACTGGGTCAATTGTCGGCGACTAGGTAGCTCAATTGGTAGAAGGTCCTTCAAAAGTTTGGAGGCCGGGTCCCTGTTTCGAACCCATGTCTGGCCATGCATTTTTCTTTTTCCTGCTACAAAATTGGCGAGCTTGCCAACCCTTGTTTCAAGTACTGGGTGAATGCTTGACAAGGGGATACCCTAACCTGGATTGTAAATAGTGTTGTTTTTGGAGGCCAAGACTTAGAAAAAGGTGGGAGGAATGATGCAGAACTGGCTGGACTGGGTCGATCACCAGTGACCAGGTAGCTCAATTGGTAGAGCATCTGTCTAGAATTGGGCGAGTTCCAGGTTTATATATCCCGGTCTGACAGTACATTTATCGTTCTCTTAGTACACTAGAAACCATTACATTCAATCTCTGAAACCGCTGTACTAGCCTTTCAGTTGACATACCTGTTGCACACGTCACGTAGTCCTCAAAGAACTCTATACAGGGCGTGTATTTTATTGGATTATTTATGACTAAATCCAGCTTGATTCTGTAGGTACATAGGTCCATGCACACCCCAGTCACATTCCTGTTCTGACAGCAAACTGCAAGGATAATGACAATAATCACAATCAAAATACAGATACAACAATAACTGTGTAAAGTGAAACCTGTATACTTCACGCTTCAAGTTGAATTTTCCTTCGTCCATTCGGCATTCATGTTGACTATGAAAGCAGTTCAATACTTATATTTACCATTTCGGAATATGTCAACCTTATAGAAAAATTTAAATAAACTTGTCACAACTCAGCACTTCATTCAAACAATTAGCGTATGTATTGTAAATGTAACATATATGTACAGAAAAGCTATCTTCAAGTGTTCAGTGTAGACAGCTGGTCTCGCTGTCCTAACACTCTCTACAAGGACTGACAGAAGATCAAAGTGCGTACATAACTATTTCTACAGATGGTTACCTGATACATTGGCAGCTGGGGATGGTTTGATGGTTGGAGAAGGTGTAGGTACAACATAGGCCTCTGAAAATACAGCAGGAGAAAAATAATATCAACATCTAGACCTTACACATAGTCTATAAATGTTCAAAGTCAATTCTATAAAACAAAACTCATCTTTGGTTTAAGACTACTGCATTGGGCCTAAAACAAACAAAACATCCCACAGAAGTGGTCCGTCATCCGCCCCTGCTGGTGGCTACATTGATTTTCAGATTTGGGTCAAAATAAAACTTGAGCAGCTGGTCATCAATTTTATCTTAGGCCTTTGTCAAAGGTTTCATGAACATCAAAGCATTTCTTCAAGGGTTATCAAATGGAAACGATGTGGCTTTTCACAAAATTAAAGAAGGCAACTGGCTGCAATATTGATTTTCAGATTTTGGTCAAAATCAAACTCTGATGGGTACCTATAGCTAACTATCAACTTTTTTTCCTTCAACCTGGCCTGGACTTAAGTACCTAACCAGCAGCTTTTGTCTCAATCAAATATGCATAGTTTGCGGTAAAATCTACTTTCGACCAATATTAAATCCACACTTCAAATTCAAATATTTTGTACATTATATTGTAAACAAATGTTTGCTGTTATAGTAAATTTGCTCTCATTATGGAGAGCCAAAATTAAACTGCTGCGAAAATCTCCCTGTATATAGTAGTATGTCGTAATAAAATTGAACACATCCCCTTGTGGTACATCAAAAGAATCTTGCGGCAGTACTGTTAAAGGAAAATTGACTGGCTTTGAAGTTGGGTGTCAATCCTCTGTAACCTTCAAAGGCCAAGTAACAGCCAATCAAAACCAATCGAATTGTGAACCACATGCCTTTGATTTTGTCATGACATATTCCAGGAGTGCAAGGAACGTAAGTGAGCGTAATCCCTGGAATTCTGAGAATGATGTCTTAATGTGATCAGAAATCTTGAAGTACCCTGAGAAAACCCATGTGGTCCGACACAAGTGACCCTTAACCTTTTCACTGAAAGCTATGAGATATAATCTGACTTACTTTTTAAATGCACTGTTCCATTGTGTGATCCGAATTTATTAGATCCCATGCAGGTGTACGTTCCCAAGTCGACGTCACGTACAAGCATGACTTCTAGTTCAGCGCCCAGTTCGTGTGTCTCCAGGTTCGGATGCTGGTATATACCCGTTCTATAGTTAGTGGTGAGTTGTGTGTCGCCCTTAAACCAAACGACTTCAGTAGGGAAACCTCTAAAGGTACATCGCAGTTTGCCGTTATATCCCATGTCCACGTCCGGCACATTGTCTCCCTTTATCCCCGACATGGTGGGCGCGTCTACAATACACATATCGGAATAATAGAAATGGTGAAAACAATTACAAACTTTTGTAATAAGGACACAAAGGAAGCAAAGGTAGCAATCCAAACCACAGAAAAGTGTTTCATTTTATACGGTGTTAAATTTTCACTTCTTTTTGCAGTCCATATTTTCCTTGAAAAACAGATCAGTTATGAGAATACGCATCTGTGAAAAATTAATCATGAGAATTCTGTTTTGAAGGTAAATCTATCTGTAAAATACTCGAAACCACGCTTCATTTCTAGTTTAAAAAGCTACCATTGCTTAAGACTGAAATTAATCCAAATTTCATGTTTTAAATACATAACAGGATTCAAAATTTCTTTCTACCAATTTCATCTATTGAAGAAAAACACAAGAACTCGTAAAATAAACAAGATAAGCTTATACGTACATCTGACATTGAGGTTCAAACTTTTGGTGGAAGTGGCCAGCTTCGGGACGGATGCTGTACACTTGTACAGGCCCTCTGAGTCCTCGTCAGCGACGACGGTGATGGTGCGAGAGTTTAGGGTTTGCTTGTTGTTGAGTATCCAGTAGACATCGGTCGGGGTCGGGGTGCCGTAGGCATCACAGACAAGCTGCACAGTTGTACCCTTGTCCACCACTCCCGGGGGTATCTGGTTCACGCTGACGTCCATAAAACCTGTCACCACACAATCAAAATTATTACAGACATACCTGGAGGAGATTAGTTTTTCAGTATTTTTTTTTCCATTTTTTTTATTTATTTCTTTTATTTTACTGTATTCGCCATAATAAGCACCCCTCCCCCATTTTTTTGGAGGAATTGAAATTAAAAAGCCCCCCCCCCCCCTCTCCCTCGAGCTCCTTCCAGTCCAGACCAGGTGTGCTCAATTTCTTTATAGTTCTTACACTTTTAAAGCCGAGATTTAGGTCTGGTGATAAAAAAATCAATTTGTAAACCTCAAGCCACAACGAAATATTTCTAATGTCCTTCAGTGATATTAAACCTTCACTCCACAATCATAGCCCACATTTTGTTATCTTAACAAGTGCCCTACGTTAGCCATTTTATTTCATCGCCCAGGGCACTAATTACAGCGAATACAGTATTACAGATATACTGGGGTACATTCACATATCCGGTTGAAACGGTTGAACCTAGTGTAAAGAAAACGACAGGTACAGATCTGGACCGAGGCTGACCTCAGGAAAATTTGGTACGTGTAGATTGAGAGGTCCAGACGTACCTGGCCGAAACAGAAATGCTGACTATTGTTAGTTTGCATTATTTCTTTCTAAAACAATGTCAAACCACATGCAGTTTTTAAGATACGTGATATTATTCAGTGGACGCGTGTTTTTTATTCTCCGAAACAGTGCATTTTTAGCTCTGCTTATAGAATGGTCCAAGTACCTTTGTTTATCATGGAAAAATTCCTGCTCCACATGTACCGTTTCAACCGAGATACGCGAATGTAGCCCTGGAGAACTTTTTTTTTAAAATATTTTTTATGTATTTTTTTTCATCTTTTGCAGTTTTTCAAAAAAGTACATTAGACATTTTAAGGTTATTTTTCAATCACAGCCAGAAAATAGTTATACATTATATAACAAAACTTGTCAAAACCCTGACCTGTATATGGATATCTTGTATGAAACAACCCTTTGTTTACTGGTATATGATAAACAAAGCAGTATTGCAAGCAATGCATAGTCAACAAACTTTGGTACCTACATTTATCAATAAAGTACACAACACCCTGCCATCCCAAGAGGTTCTCGCATACAAAACTTAGTGATGGTAGGTGCTAGTGTATGTGAAATATTAACGGAAATGACTTAAGTAATCAAATGAAAAATGTACCTCTTTGACCCCTCGGGGATCCAGAAACTAGCTATCTATCAATCCAATATTTTTTACTTGTATAATGTGACACTCAACAAGAAGCCGCCAAATGCGATATGGCCAGATTTCTACAGTACATTTTCATGTAAAGCATCACATGTGATAATCATCCTTTAAGATACAAGTTAAGTTGATGTAGGACAAGTAGTTACTTGGTAAGTGACCTCAACCAAACTTCTTAACCTGGTCATTCAAGCGGAAAATGTAGGTCAGAGGCAGCATCCGAAGCATCCTAAGATACCTTAGCCATACATGTTTAGTTGATGTGGGATAGTAAATAACTTCCTGAGCTAAACCATTCTTCTTATCCTTAGTGCAGACAGACGGACAGACAGACAGACGGACGGGAATCGCCAATCTATAAGCCCTGATTGCTTTGCAATCAAGAAAAAATTATGGGCATATAAGCAAGCATAGGCTTATTTCTGCGTTAATATGGTAATTATAATTAAAGGAGGCCGAGCTGTATGTCCTACCTGCTGGATATGTTGCGACGGTGATCTGTGGTGCCGGCAGACTGCTGCCGTTCCCGTTGTGCGCGGTTACGCTGATGGTGTACTGGGTTTCCGGAGCAAGGTCCGTAATGTTGACCCTTGTTTCTGTATACCTCTTCTACAACACAACATTGAGATGCTGTTAATTTGAGGCTACAGGAGAGCATTCGTCAAAAAAAGTTGTTTTTTTAATTTTCTTAATTTTTCATAATATCTCAGTTTTGTACATAGACTGAGGAAAATAACACTGTTACTTCTAAACGTTATTTAATAGTGGGCACATGCTTAAATTTGTTTTGTGAGTGTAAAAACGCAGTGGGGATAGACTGGAGATTTGAACCCTAAACTCTAGCAGATTATTACACTGTCACTCTAACCGACTGAGCTACCTGGTCAACAGGTATGTCCTGGCCAACAGTGCTACAATTATATTGCATACTTGCAAAAGAATCCAGAGCAATGGGACAGGGATCCTTAAAAAGGTGAATTTTAAACATTTTCAAAGATGAGCTAAGCAGTGCAAATGCAGGCAATTCCAAAACGGACCACAATCTATGGAGGTCATTTGCTGGTTTACCTGCACAGATGCAAGTGTTTTAGCAGGTTCGTTATTACTTAAACGCATTGAAAATAATTTTATTTCCGTCCGCCATCTTTTGATGCTATCAGATCAGATTCTAGCTCTACTGCTCACCCTGACTGCACTGCCGCCAGCCTTTGTGTACTGCAGAACATAAAAACAATCCGCATCACAATTTTCCTTTGGTGGACTCCACGCCACAAAGATATGTCTGGAGTGTTTTTCAACGACCTTGAACAGTTGAGGAGGACCTGGTAGATACATCAGACCTGGGGAAACACAAAAGAGTTCACTTACACCGTTATCGTGAATACTGTACATGGGGAAATTTCGCTATTCAATAATAAAATCAATTTTCGCCCGATACTAAATTCATACTCTATGTTTACATTACATCTGCATTACTATGCATATCATGTTGTTAACAAAAGTTCTCTGTAATGATAAATTCGCCCTCATTACAAATGGCAACAAAAAAACGAAAATTTAAAGTGCAGCGAAAATTTCCTGTTATACAGTACAAGGTCACATTACCTTAACTCTTTCACCCCTGTGTAACTTAAATAAAATCTACCATGCATTTAAATGAATGAGTCCATTATGGTCTACAGTGGTTAAAGGGTTAAAGACGAGACCACTGTCATATTGTTCCCATCGCCATTTTTTTTCTTCAAAAAAGTATTTATAATTGAAAACTACACCACCTAGTGTTCTTAGTACAATTGTACAGTAAAAGTGGAAACTTTGGTGGTATGGAAATGTTCACGTTTTTCATGTGAAGTATATTATTTATTTAGAGATTAATGTATATTATAGATACCGTATATAGAACAAAGAGATTTCAAAACTATTGCCAACGCAACAATTTCCCAACCCGAATCAGTTTAAAGAGTCATAATGTGAATATTTCCACATGCACAAATTTCCATTTGTACAATATTTAATGTTTTAATACATATTACATCAAATTTTACTGCAAACATAAAGGTTTTTCATTGCGGGCTTATTTGGTGTTAAGGAAAAATATTAACACCTTAACATAAAGGTAACATGTACATTCAGTGACTGAAAATATGAAGTTTATAATGTCAAGTACTTTTAAATATTTCTAAAAAAACAAATCAGAATCACTCCACTGATTAATGATATTAAGATTATAAACACCACTTTAAAAAATATGCAATTTTTGTCTCCCTTTGCACATTTCAATAAGTATTACCTGTCGGTGAAAGTTATGATTTTCATCAATGTACATATATCTCCAATACCTATTTGATGTAAAATAAAATATTTTACATTTAGAACTCTTTGGAAAGGAGGTAATGTCACAGTAGTACCAGTAGATGTCATCCTTAAGTTGTGCACATACCTTGGCTGAAACAGGTGACAAATTCGCTGACGTAACTTAGACACAGGGCTCCGATTGCATCCTGTGGTAGTGCCTGACCCCGACAGTAACCAAGGCATTTTGTTGGCACACCGTTCGACTTACAGCAGCTTGAGTGGTCTCGTCCATCTATAAAAATATCAACAATTACATCACACAATGCTTAGAAACTTCTCTGATCTAAATCCTGTAAAAGATTTCGTTTAAAAAAAAGGAAATTATGACTGCTTAACTCATTCACCCATGAAATTTCATAATGAACTATTCCAACCTTTGAATTGGAGGAGTTCAAATGTGTCTTCAGGGATGAATGAGTTAAACAACTTATCCATAAGAATCAATTTTTATTTAATAAAATAAAAAATAAAAAATCAATAAATATTTCTATGATTTCTATAATTATAACAATATTAATTGATTTAAAAATTTATACAAATGTATAATTTTTAAACAGTCTATGAAATTTTCATATTTTCAGTAAGCTTTCCACTCCAATTAGCGTTCGATTTATGTTTCAAAATATATTACAGTGTATGACAGGTCAGCATGGAACCCTGTCGGCCATGTCCATCACCGTATCCCTCTTGTCTGTGTTCCATCCCTTAAGAATCTTAACTCAAACTGCAAATTTTGAGACTATGTCAGCCACGAGATGATTAAGTACCTACCTGCTACACATGCGAGAACCTTGTTGAAGTCCATTTCACACACGAGAGGAGACATGACCGGGGCCTCCATCATACACACAGACTCACACTCAGAACTGATATTGGAGCCTCTACAGCATTCTACAAACAAAAATAACGCTGTCTAAATTTGACTGATACAATCCTTCAAGAATATCCGGACTGGACATGAATAATTCTAAGGAAGTGTTTAACTAGTGGCAGTATGTACCAGTTTTGTGTAGTTAAGGGTATGAAAGTGAACCAAAAAAGAGGTTAGTGATGTTTTGTAGGCATTTGAAGCTGTAATCTCTGTCAGTGACTGTTTCTTTGTATGCAACGGCAGCCCAGGCTGTGATGTCAGTGTTTCTTTGTATGCAACGGCAGCCCAGGCTGTGATGTCTGTATTTCTTTGTATGCAATGGCAGCCCAGGCTGTGATGTCAGTGTTTCTTTGTATGCAACGGCAGCCCAGGCTGTGATGTCTGTATTTCTTTGTAGGCAACGGCAGCCCAGGCTGTGATGTCAATGTTTATTTGTAAGCAGAGACAGCCCAGGCTGTGATGTCTGTATCTCTTTGTAGGCAATTGCAGGCAGTCAGAACCTTGACGTTTGTGATTCTTTATACGCAGAGGTAGCTCGGGGATGTGATGTCTGTTTCTTTGTAGGCAATTGCAGGCAGTCAGAACCTCGACGTTTGTGATTCTTTGTAAGCAGAGGTAGCTCGGGGATGTGATGTCTGTTTCTGTTCTCCCGACTTTGGACCCTAAAGTTGAGCATTTTCAACCAGTGAATTTGCTTAACTGTTCCTATTTTCTAAGATCTTGTGACTTCACCTGAAAGAACCGCTCAAAAGATGCCTTTTAAGTATCATTTTTTCCTAGGGTGTATACATTCATACATTTTATTCATGCTTTTTTAATACTGAGCACGCGTTATCTCCCCCTTGAAATTTAAAAAAGATGGCCAGTATGCTGTAGGTGACGGCAGCCCAGATATGTGATGTCTGTGTTTCTTTGTAGATGAAAGCAACTGTAGCTGTGATGTATGTGAGTGAACGTGTTTTTGTAGAAGACAACTTCGACTGATGTCCAAGAGTTACTTTGATGGTTAAGGTAACTGCCACTGTGATGTCTGTGAGAGTGGGTTGTGAGATAATCGTGTAGATGTTATACAAGTTGTTTGTCAGTTTTATAACGCATAAGCAAAAGCAAAGCCTGGCAACAGTTCTCCCTTCAAAGGACGGTCATTGTGAAGTCATACACGAAGGTTATAATAGCCTCATACTTTGCTTGTTGCATATTAAAGTCACTGTATTATCCTTATTTACAGTATGAATCACTTTTTATAGAATCAGGAACTTACTCATGTGACCTTACCAGGTGACTATAATCTAGCCCAAAGTATTCAAAGACTGGTTAGCTTGACAAGCATTTAACATAAATTTCAATTTTTATTTTTTTTATAAATATTTTTATTTACAAACATATTTTTTGTGATTCTTGTGTTCGAATGAGCATTCTGAAATCCAAACAAAAGAGTTATATATTCAATCTTTTAATATACAGGACAGAACATTTGTGTCAAGTTGTCGTCAGATTACAAGGCTTTGAATTAAACAACTTACCTGTTCTGTTGGCCCATGTTACTACAGTTTCGTTCACAGTGGTATTACCGGACGGGCCTGCAGATTATAAAATATATTTAAATCACATCGTCTATCCTAATATGTTAACTTAATCTCAAGCACCACAATTAAATACTATCATTATGTTAACTATATCCAGGCTGGTAAATAAGAGGAAAAATTAATCTCAACCCTTCATTAAATGGCTACAGAAAATAAAAGTGGCGGTTCTATTCCTTGGTCACTTAATTGTATAACTCCTCATTCAAACCATTTCCAGAACTGAAATTTTGCTATACCTTTCACATACACAACCTTAAAACAAATTTACAGATTGAAATGTTCCCAATACATCTACCTAAACCATATGTACACGATCTTGAAATAAATGTCTTAATTCTTAATGGTAAAAATCTTCAATCATTCAATATAGAAACACATTTAGAGATCTGAAATTACCTAATGCCTATCATTCAAATACAAGTAAATATTTCTTCCGCAATATTATCTTATAAACCTCCATAAACAAGAATTATGCTAATTTTGCTTCAGACGTACCAAAATCATCACACTTTTTCCTGTACAAGTCTGTGCCCACTTTTGTCTCCACTTTCGCACCGTCGTTAGTCAAGAAGAGTTCGCATGTACCACTATCAGTAGTGTCGTAGGTGTAGCCCACGCAGGCAGCTCTGGTATCTGTCTGATTACAGGCCGACTCACACTCCTGCACGGTGTTTGTACTGCTAGCCATGGAAGGCCTTGCAGCCTCATACCTTATCGTCGAGTTAGGGTAGCGAACATATACACACGTTTTATCGCCATCTACAGAGTAAAACAAAAATAATGTAAATATTTTCTTGTCCGCCAGGCAAGACGTATTGTATTGTATTGTATACCGCGAAATGTTTGCTTCAGTTTAACTTCCATCTTTTTCGCCCACAGTCCCGTGGGTGAATTTATCACAACAGCGACTATTGTTTAAAAACGTAATACACATAGTACATCATGTAGTTAAACATGAAGGGCCAACTTAATACTGGGCAAATTATAGTAGAATATTGAATTTACCCGTGAAGGCCAAAAGTCTGCAGTATCAACACTTTATAATATGTATACAGATACAGTACCAGAAGGTAAATATGATGGAAAGGACTGTATATAGTTTGGGCCTTTTTTGGCCCCCAAATCCATCGAAATTAAAAATCTTCAATAGAACTTTCAAATGACTGTTTCTTTAATTCTGAATACTTCCTCGCTACTATAATGTAAATATTTATTTGTGTTTTCAATTATGGCTGCCATGATAACCAGTTAATATTTGCACAAACTAATGTAATTCGAATATTAAGTCAATTTTGACAGGTTTTCGCCTAGTTTAACTCTTAGCTTCCATAGAGTGTACACTTGAACAAACTTTATATTTCTCCTAAAGATGTATTACAGGTGTCTACACATTATCCTTTGATATTAAGTTTGTTCAAGCATGTGCTCTATAGTTTCCAGGAGAGAAACTACCTTTCAAATTATGACAATTAATATTCACCGAATATTCAAATTTTTCTAATTTATGCAAATTTGAATTTGATACCATAGTAACAATAATTAGAAATACAAATAAATATTTTCATGATAGTATTTGGGGAGTATTCAAAATTAAAGAAACGGTCATTTGACAGTTCATTTAAAGGTTTTGAATTTTGATGCATTTGGGGGCCAAAACACGCCCAAACCATACCTAGTCCTTTGTCAAAAATTGTATTTTGTTTTTTTAAACTGATAAACTTCTAAAGAAAAACAGTTGATATTTTGCATAACTTCTAGCAGCAGACTAATACTTTTCAATTTTCAGATAAACAAAATAATTCAAAATCTAATGATTTATATTTGAGACAAAAACATATTTCAATTTCTCCCCTTAAAAGCCACTGTGTTTGATTTGACATTTACTTGACCTTTTACCTATGACTATATCGAATGTTTTATTGATCAATCAAAAAAATACTTTCTATATTCAAAGCTGCAGATTGCTCAGTATCAGATGCAGATTAGGTAGAGGAAGTTATCGTTTTGATCCACTATTACTGTATTCTGTACATTATGGTATATACACATAACTATGCAATTGATAACGATCTGGTATGCAAATCTCATCAGAAAATAGCAAGAAAAACAGCGTTAGAATTTCATTCAGGAAATAGCAAGAAAAACAGTATTAGTAGCCATTAGTATCAATCAAGTAGCCATTTAAATATGTCATAGACATTTTTCCAGCATGATGTCATTAGAACATGGCCCCAAATATTATGCATTTTTTATGCATTGATATGTTTGTACTTGCACGTAAAATACGTCAAATAGAAAATTCAATGGCTTTCCAGATGTAATAAATAGAAAATTTAATGGTTTTTCAGATGTAATAAAAAGGTAATTTAATGGCTTTTCAGATGTAATAAGTAGAAAATTTAATGGTTTTTCAGATGTAATAAATAGAAAATTATTTGGCTTTTCAGATGTAATAAATAGAAAATTTAATAGTTTTTCAGATGTAATAAATAGAAAATTTAATGGCTTTCTAGATGTAATAAATAGAAAATTCAATAGTTTTTCAGATGTAATAAATAGAAAGTTTAACGGTATTTAACGACATATTAAATTGAAAATTTAATGATTTTCCTCGTATGGCTGACATATTTACTTGTGCTTTGAAACCATGGAAGGTATCAATATTCTGCCATCCTTTTAAAATAGATAATGGTATTCAATAGGAAACTAGCAAACATCCTCTAATGGCAGAACAAAGAACGGATGGAAAGGACCAGGGGCGTTAAGGGTCACTTTCGGACTCATCATGGATATAGAATTAGTTAATATATTTGTAATCTGGAATAAATGAAGTACGCAACTAGTCTAGGATATATGGCATTACAAAGATAGACATAAACGCACATTTTCTGGTGGATATCGTCTGTTGTGGGCTGTTTGGTTCAATTTTTGAAAGTCTCCGCATGTAACAAACAAATAAATATTTGACAGGCTGAAACATTGTTATACCAGTGTTCATTCGTAGAAAGGATCTTTTGTTTGTCACATGCGGAGGCTTTCATTTCTGCATGCTTACTGACAAACACCATAGTTAATGGCTGTCTCTGCATAGCAACGCAGTTTCGTTGCTATGGTAGGGTATCTACGCATGCGCATTGGAAAAAATCTACACCAAGAAAGATAACCCCAGTTAACCAGTATGATGTTTATAACAGAAATTAGTAAATAGATTCAAGTTGAAATTTTCACTTCATATGAGGCCAAAAATGACCCATAAGTCATTTGAGGAATACTTACAGTATGGTAGTGTCGCCGTCATGATGACATAGGATGGGACGCTAGTTCCGTTCTCATTGACGGACACGACTTGGATGATGTACCGTGTCTCCGCCTTCAGCCCAACTAGGTTGAATGGCACCTTCTTTGCAGTTTGCTGAAAATGCAAACGTTAGATTTTAGAAATCTTACTAAAATGTTAAAATTTCAGTAATCCAAATTCATGACGCATAGATCGTGGTGTATGTGACAGAAAAGATAAAGAATGTACGCAAATCTATATGTAAGCGGCTTATTTATGGATCTGCGTTCCACTGCCCAACAGGAGTACCACAGGGCAGAACGCTATACGCCCGTCCCATGCCAATCTGACATACTTAAAACCCTTTTGATGCATTATTGTATCTAAATGTATGAAAATATGGAAATGTAAGGAGAAACAACATTTGTACTGTATTACTCGTTGCAGTTGAAAGCTATTTCTGAAATGTGTTGAAACGGAGAAAACAGACTGTACTCGTTTTTCATATATCCTTTATGACCTTTCAATAATTGATTTTCATAGAAATTGTCTCCCTTTGTATATATTTCAAACAATGAAAATAGAAATTGAAATTGCCCCATTTTGCCAATAATCCATTCATTGTACACTATTAAAACCAAAGATATTTCTAATGTTCATCAATTACTGGCAGATATCGCTATTAGACAAAGTGTAAATATTGACCAAGTTTCCACAGAATCCTGCCATATTTGACAAACTTTTTATTGTGCGGAAAACCGTTGACCAATCAGATAGCAGAATGCTACTAAATTATCTGCACATGTTGCTCACTTTTAATCTCTAAGGATTTATCATTGCATAACATCACTATTGACCGAATTTCCCCTCACACAGTAAAATAATTGCAAAATGCTTACGTGTAAATGATGGAAATAAAATACTGCTTTCAACTAAACGATGCCCTTGATGATATATCGTAATGATGTGAACTAAACAGAGTAGATTTCACTCAATTGATAAGAAATATTATTATTTTTTCATATTTTTCCCAGACAAGTGATTGGCCAGGAGTGCATCATGTGTCCACCGATAAAAAACGATATTGACTTGGAGCGTGTGATTTTTTTTGAAGGACTGGGTGTTTCTAAAAATAGAACTATGACCTGTCTCAAAACAATGCACCGTCCCACTTCTGAAGCTTTTTTGTTGTGTTTTCTTTCAAATTGCTTACATTACTGTTTTGTAAAATAATAAAACAATTGTAGCCTTTGGCTGAGGTCAATACCTGAATTTATCGACCCGAGAAAAGATATATTGACCGAGGACGCAGGTATCGACCTCAGCCAAAGGCTATAATTGAATATTGATGATTGTCTTGCATAAAATAACCAAACACAGAACCACACAAGTACAACTCTTGCCTGTAAGAATTTCAGAAACTAGTAAATAAAGAAAGATGCGCAAAGACGTCTCGTTATTAGGGTTGTCAAGGGTTAACTACTTACTTGGTCGGAAGACTATGAACCTGTTACCAAAATTAATAACCGAAAAAGTTGTACATTTACCAATGGGGAAATCCATATTACCTGGCTTATCCCTACAAGTTCTCTATCGATGAGATTGAAATCTGTTTTTTTTTTAAACAAAATCAACGCTAAGACCTGTTAGGGTGTTGTATTTGTATTTGATAGTATGAATTGATAAAAAGATGCTGGTTACACCCCAAAAAAAGCCTCAATAGATGTTACAAGGGAGCCAGAATGCAAACAAGGGAGCCAGAATGCAAAGTTGTGAAACGCCAATTTTGCAAGGTAGAATTCGCTTTTAAGGATGGGGCGTAAAAACAATATCAAAGAGTACCTTAAATTGAAAGATACCAATGAAATATAAAAAAAAAAGTGTGAATAGAAATAACTTGTTATTGTATACCGAAGTTGTCAACGAAATATACTTATGTATTTTCTGCAATTAGGTGTTGAAAGCTTAAAATATGTGAGTAAACTATCATGAAAACTAATATATATGAAGTGTTTATTCATTTTGATTAGAAAATTTGCTTAACATATAATGTAGTTGTTGTTTTTTCTTGTTCAATTAACATACAGACTGATTAACCGAATACTCATTCAGAAGATTTTTCGAGTAACCACGGTTACTAAACTTTGTACGGTTTGACAACCCTACTTGTCATATAACTCACCATTTCCTTCTTGTCAGAATCTTCCATCTGATAGAGAACGGTGTAGTTCTGGGGGTGAGGGCCTCGTAGAGGAGCATCCCAGCTCAGCTGGATCGAGTGAGCCGTGGTCAGAAGCACCCTAACACTCTCAGGGGCCATGGGGAGGGAAACTAAAATGAACAGCATTGTTTGAATATAAGTCAAAGAAACCTAAACAAAGAAAATTATTTGAATATATGATTTTATAATGTTTATGATATATGATGTTTAAAAATAACAAGAGGCCCAATGGGCCTGCATCGCTCACCTGGTATAAAACTCACACTTGTAACCTTAAAAGTGATCTAAAATAAAGCTACAGGCAAAATATCAGTATTTATGATTAAAATTCGTTCAATAAACCCTGTTATGTTTTTTTTAAACATTTCACCCCTGTGATTGAAAGTCGAACAAAGTCATCATGTTGAACACATTGTATAGCCTTTCATCTCAGGATGCATCTTGCAATGTATAAACATCCTGGGACCCATGGTTATTCATAAGAGGTTGTTTAAAGATTTTAAACAAATTTGACCCCTGTGACCTTGAATATAAGTCAAAGTCATTCACTTTAACAAACATAGTAGTCCTTGATCCAAGCATATGCTACTAACTAAATATCAACATCCTGAGCCTTTTGGTTGTTCAGAACAAGTTGTTGAAATATTTTAAACATATTTGCTCCTTGTGACCTTGAATATGATTCAAGGTCATACATTTAAACAAACTTGGTAGTCCTTGATCCTAGTATGCTACTGACTAAATATCATCACCCAGGGCATTTTGGTTATTCAGAAGAAGTTGTTTAAAGTTTTTAACATATTTGACCCCTGTGACCTTGAATATGGGAAAAGGTCATTCATTTGAACAAACTTTGTAGCCCTTCATCTTAGCATTCTACTGCCCAATATCATCACCCTGTGTATTTTGGTTATTGAGAAGAAGTTATTTAAAGTTTTTAACATATATGACCCCTGTGACCTTGAATATGGGTGAAGGTCATTCATTTGAACAAACTTTGCAGCCCTTCTTCTCAGCTAGCTTCTGGCCAAATATCATCTCCATGGGCCATTTGGTTATTGAGAAGAAGTTATTTAAAGTTTTTAACATATTTGACCCTTGTGACCTTGAAAATAGATGAAAGTCATTTATTTGAACAAACTTGGTAGCCCTTCATCCCAGTTTGCTTCTGGCCAAATATCATCACCCTAGCCCTTTCGGTTATTAAGAAGAAGTCGTTTAAAGTAAAATATTGACGACGGACGATGGACGCCGCACCACGGCATAAGCTCACCTGAAGTGCCAGGTGAGCTAAAAATGTTGTCATTTTTAATTGTAAAACTTATAATTGAATGATTTGAAAACAAATGAATTTTTATAATGTCAATTTACTGATCAACTACAGTTTCTTTGGAAAGTTCAGAGGTGCATTCCACTCACTGCCAGATAAAAATATACATTGATTTATGGTAACTGAAATTAAATATACTTACTGTTTTGTGGTCAAAAGTTTTGTGGTATATCATAATGTTACGGACAAATTGTGACAAAATTATTGCACAGATGAATTGTAAATAATAAACTCATCAGGGTGTAGAGCCAATGCCGTACTTCTAATCTAGGTTCTGTAGGTTCCGCTATCCCTTGCTTGGATACCCAGGGGTATGCAGGGCAATTGAGGAACGGGAAACTAAAGGCAATATTCAATCGTAACAAGCTCAGAATAGGTTTGTTTCAATATTGTATGTCTACCGGTTTCGCCCGAACATGTGGGCTTCTTCAGGACAATTTCAAATAATAAAAGGTGCATTTAAAATTAACAAACCTATTCCTTGTGTGTAACATTGGGCTATTTGGAGTGTGAAGGCGGAACACATGATTGGATTATTGTTGATGGAGTCGGGTACGTCTTCAAATCTGGTCACGCTACACAGGGGTAAACACATGTCCAGGACGCCCTTTGTCTTGCAACAACTTTCATGGTTACGTCCATCTATCACAAAAAATACACGGTAATGTATAATCCGTAACTGCCGACGTTCAATCAAAATCTCATATCAGGGTGTCTTTTTCTTAATTTTGTAGTAGACTTTTAATTAAAACTTTTGTGGCAAATCTCAGATAAATCCTGCTATTACTTTTAATAAGCACTACTCGTTAATTCTAGTTAAAATTCATAATCACCCACTGTGACTTTCAATCCTTCACATGTAATTAACATATAAATACTGTGAACTAAAATCTGCGGTCACGAAAAATTCACCCAACCTGATCTTTCCGTACCTTTTTCACAAGAATTTTTATTTTGCATTGAACTCAACATGTTTGTCTTTCATAATGAAACTATAAATATTCATGTGAGGCTTAAATTGATGTGAAAATGCATATCTCGGAAACAGATCTGAAGAAATATATAATTATAATAAGTATTATTACAAAAGTTAGTTTGAGATTATCTTTTTACACAGATCAGGATTTCTGTATCATATTTATCCAACAATAAGCCCATGCTTATTGCAGCTCAGTAAAAATGCACACAAATGCTAATCCATTGTTCTGAAATCCGCCCACATTATCTGTTAACCCCCTGGGCTTATTGTACGATGAATATGGTAAATGTAAGATGCTTGTCACGGTATAATTGAAACGTACCTGAGCCACAGATAAGAAGCGTGAGCATGTGTTCGCTACATTCCAGGGCGAGCCCATAGTTTATGCTCCCTGTGTAGTGATCATAGTCACACAGTGCTAGACATTTCTGCGGCATGTTTTTTGCTGAACAACAGGCTGAAATAAGCAGCAGGTACAAAATGTATGTCAAATCTTAACATTTGTAATCTTTAAATTCAACGAACAACGTCAGTCTCATATTAAAACAAGGCGAGCGGAGGCTCCCCCACCTTCCTAAATCTGCACACCCCCAAAATGTTCAAGCATGACCTTCGACCCTTTAACCTTGACCGATAACCACCAAAATTTAATCAGTTATAGAACTTGCTCTATATAAAACCATAATAGTGTAAACATGAACTTTGTCTGTCAAGAGATTTCACGAATTAACTTGTACACAAGCTTTATATTTCAAAAGTGGTCAAATGTGACCTTTGACCCTTTAACCTTGACCGATGACCACCAAAATCTCATCATGTGAAGAACTTGCTTTATATAATTATATATCAATATGAATTATGTCTGTCAAAAGGTTTCTTGTACACAAGCTTTATACATCAAAAGTGGTCAGATACAACCTTTGACCCTTTGACCTTGACTGATGACCTCCAATTTCTTACCAGATGTGGAACTTGGCATTATCATAATATGATGAAAATATAAACTGAACCATTTGAGGGGTTCATGAGATGTCTAGTAAGTAAACAAGATTTTAGTATAGATACATAGGAACAAACATGGACACATTTACACAGTGACTGTACCCCATATATACCTCCTCTAAAGTAACCTTTGGCGTAATTATGTGGGCTATCTTATCTGATGAAGCAAGCAATGTGAGGAAAAACTTTCAAAAGGCAGTAGAAAGTGTGGGTTATACATTATCTTTCAAAACCAAATCTTACACATCTTCATATATTAACAAAAACACACACAAAAAATATAGAAATTTTGAAGCATATTACATGAAAAGTTGATTAATATGTCAACTTGGTAAAATACTAGCCACTTCCTACCGGCTAGACTAGGTAGAATTTCTCCTAAGCTCATTCCGTAGAGCTTTAGTCTAGTAAACCAGAGGACCCGTGTTCGAGTCCTAGCGGAGGAGGCATTGAAACAATAATGACTTCTTTTACACATATTTTTTTATACTACTAGGGTAATTCTTCTCTTCTTTAAGTCGCTGTTTCTTGGTGTTCACATATTACATCAAAGATAAATCATATCAAACTTCTAACAAGACCGTTGTTTATCTATGGAGTTGTAGACAAGTTCTGCCATGTCTGTTTCTTACCTGTGAAGTTATAGAAGAGGTTTGGGGTGGTTGATGGTGTTGGCGTTGGTGGGGAGATTGGTCGGGCTGAAAAAGACATGAAATATTGCATGAAGTAAATACCTGTGGTATTAATTTGAAACCTTGTCATATCCTAAGTACATTTACGACATCAAAATTATTTTTAAATAATAATATTAAGACCTAGTTAGAGCATTAATTATGACCTAGTTAGAGCATGAATTATGACATAGTTAGAGCATTAATTATGACCTAGTTAGAGCATTGATTATGACCTAGTTAGAGCATTAATTATGACCTAGTTAGAGCATGAAGTAAATACCTAGTTAGAGCATTAATTATGACCTAGTTAGAGCATTAATTACGACCTAGTTAGAGCATGAATTATGATATAGTTAGAGCATTAATTATGACTTAGTTAGAGCATTAATTTTGACTTAGTTAGAGCATTAATTATGACATAGTTAGAGCATTAATTATGACCAAGTTAGAGCATTAATTATGGCGTAGTTAGAGCATTAATTATGACATAGTTAGAGCATTAATTACGACCTAGTTAGAGCATGAAGTAAATAACTAGTTAGAGCATTAATTAGGACCTAGTTAGAGCATGAAGTAAATACCTAGTTAGAGCATTAATTATGACATAGTTAGAGCATTAATTATGACCAAGTTAGAGCATTAATTATGGCCTAGTTAGAGCATGAAGTAAATACCTATTTAGAGCATTAATTATGACTTAGTTAGAGCATTAATTAGGACCTAGTTAGAGCATGAAGTAAATAACTAGTTAGAGCATTAATTATGGCGTAGTTAGAGCATTAATTATGACATAGTTAGAGCATTAATTATGACATAGTTAGAGCATTAATTATGGCCTAGTTAGAGCATGAAGTAAATTCCTAGTTAGAGCATTAATTAGGACCTAGTTAGAGCATGAAGTAAATAACTAGTTAGAGCATTAATTAGGACCTAGTTAGAGCATGAAGTAAATTCCTAGTTAGAGCATTAATTTTGACTTAGTTAGAGCATTAATTAGGACCTAGTTAGAGCATGAATTATGACATAGTTAGAGCATTAATTATGACATAGTTAGAGCATTAATTACGACCTAGTTAGAGCATGAATTATGAACTAGTTAGAGCATTGATTATGCCCTAGTTAGAGCATTAATTACGACCTAGTTAGAGCATGAAGTAAATTCCTAGTTAGAGCATTAATTATGGCCTAGTTAGAGCATGAAGTAAATTCCTAGTTAGAGCATTAATTATGACATAGTTAGAGCATTAATTACGACCTAGTTAGAGCATGAAGTAAATAACTAGTTAGAGCATTAATTACGACCTAGTTAGAGCATGAATTATGACCTAGTTAGAGCATTAATTATGACCTAGTTAGAGCATTAATTTTGACCTAGTAAGAGCATTAATTATGACCTAGTTAGAGCATTAATTTTGACCTAGTTAGAGCATTAATTATGACTTAAGGATCCCTGTCCCACTGCAGTCTGGCTTTTCGTATATATACAGTAACCTCCACTTAATTTAATTTTGGATATAACTGTAGCACGGTCGGGCCAGGACACTTCCATTGACCAGGTAGGTCAGTAGGTTAGAGCGATAGTTTAACAATCTGAGGTCCAGGATTCAAATCCCGGTCTGACCTGCTGTATTTTGACACTCAGAGCACGGTTGTTGGTTATATTTTATTGATAAGGAAAGCTATACTGAAGAAATGTTTTAGAAGTGAAAACCTATATACTTACGATAGGTCAGAAACCCGATTTTAGATGTCGGTAGACTGGTGTAGTTCTCGTTCCTGGCCACGAGAAAGGCCTCGTATTGTGTGTTACCCATCAGGCCACTTATCACTGCTTCTGTGTTACCGGACACCGTCAACTATAAATAGACAATGACATAGTTAAAGGATCCTGTACGCATATTGCTCATTGTCATGTACCAATACTAATTTTTATTTTGTGCTATTGTGGTATGTTTGGGTACACTTATACATTTCCTACATGGTAAGTTTCCAGATTTCAAGCAAAATATTCATATAGCTTTTACTCCCAGGCTTTATGTAGAGGAACTGGACTGGGTCGATCGTCAGCGACCAGATAGCTCAATAGAGAGAGCATCTGTCTAAGATTTTGGAGGTTCCTCGGTTCGAACCCCAGTCTGGCTGTGCATTTTTCCTCTCCTGTTAGAGTGGTGCCTGTGACCAACCCTTGTTTCAAGCATTTGGTGAATGCTTGACAAGGGGATACCCAACGTGGGTTGTAAATAGTTGTGTCTTCGGGGGCGAAGACTTAGAAAAAGGAGGAAGGAATGTAGCGGAATTGGACTGGGTCGATCGTTGGCGATCTGTTAGCTCAATTTATAGAGTGGTGGAGTCCTCCAAACGCATAATAGTTAAAATAATTTCAAGAATAATTTATATAAGCTGATAAAAACTTTTTTTCATTGTAATGTCATATTACATAAGTTCAATCATAAAAATATGAAATGGGTTTATAAAATAGACGTAATTAAATAATATTGATTTTAAGGGATTTGGTTTGGTTTGGTTTGGTTTTATAGGGTCTAACAGGACATGCCTCCATGTGTGTTGTGAATGCGTGCATGTGTGAATGCGTGCCAGAGGCAGGGTATGTTGGTGTCATTGCCTCCTTGTGATAGCGCAGATCTGATGCTGACTTAAGAGTGCTACCATGCCGAAATACCATAAGGAAGGCGCCTAGCTAGCACAGCATTACGCCCGGTCACATTATACTGACAACATATTCTAATGGAAGGGGATCCTTCTGTGGTGAGTACCTTGGTATATGTTCCACCTATTGGGTATGTCAGCCTGTAGAACAGGTCGTACATAGTTGGAACGGCAGTGCCGGACTTTTCCCAGGAGAATTCAGCTGTGTTCCACTCTAGAGTCACAAGTTTGAATTGCACAGGGGCACCTGGGATAATATCTAAAAAAAACACATAATAATATAGATATCATCAAACACAATACCGATTAATCATCTGACTGAATAATCTTGAAAATTTACAAGAATTATTTTTTTCTACATATTCAAATGAAATGTACATAATTATTTTGCAACAGGAATGAATTTAATATATATGTTCATAATAATTTTTGCAGCAAGAATACAATTTGTTTAGAGTATATGAATGTAGAAATTAACATCCGGTAATACAAAAAAGATACATTTTCAATGGTCTGATTTGAAAATAGTATCTTAGAAGTGCAAACTTTAGTGTTGACGATTTTTTCTCTCTAATTTTGTATTTACATAGTCAGTGCCAAAATTTGACTGCCAGTACATGCCGACGCAATTTTTTCTGTGACCCAGTTTATCGGAAATTATCTACAACAAGGTCGGTATTAATCTGATAACTTTAAAAGTTTAGATGACATAAGCCATACTTGACAACACTACCTATTTTGGAGGGAGACTTCCACTTTTTGAGCCTACAATTGAGCATTTTCAACCAGTGCTATTTTGTAACACCTAATGATAACATTTGAAAGAACAGCTCAAAAGATGCTGTTGAAAAGTATTGTTTTTTCCCCTGGGGTGTACATACACACATTTTATTGATGTTTTTAAGTCTGAGCATGCGTAATCTCCCCCATGGAAATTTCAAAAAGTTGGGAAGTATGCAAAGTTGATAAGTTAATAACGCGAAGTTAATAAGTTAATAACGCAAAGTTAATAAGTTAATAACGCGAAGTTAATAAGTTAATAACGCAAAGTTGATAAGCTACTGACGTCAAGACATCACTAGTTTTACCTCTGCCTTCCTCAATACAGCCATCGATAACTCCCATCCTCATGATACACTGGGTGATATTCCAGGAGAACACGATGTCACCTCCGCCACAGAAGCTGAAGCAATGTTCAGGGACGTTCATTCTCCCGCAGCAGGCGGACTGATCTCTTTCACCTGTCACAGGCAATTAACATGTGTCATTTCATACACTCCGTGATAAACAAGTGTCACCATACACCAGGTAATCAATTTCTGACAGCACATTGTGTCAATACCTGGCAATGTCAGTTAAGTAATCAACATAGCACTAGAAAATCAACAAGTAAAATTACACTAGGTAATCAATGTGTGACAGGTGTTACCCAAAAAGGTAATCAACAGTTATTACTAAACAAGGTAATCAACAGGTATTACTAATCAAGGTAATCAACAGGTATTACTAAACAAGGTAATCAACAGATGTTACTCAAAAAGGTAATCAACATGAGTTACTCAAAAAGGTAATCAACAGGTATTACTAAACAAGGTAATCAACACATGTTACCCAAAAAGGAAATCAACAGGCATTATCCAAAAAGGTAATCAACAGGTGTTATCCAAAAAGGTAATCAACAGGTGTAACTCAACAAGGTAATCAACAAGTGTTACTCAACCAGGTAATCAACAGGTGTTTCTAAACAAGGTTATCAACAGGGGTTACTAAAAAAGGTAATCAACAAGTGCTACTCAACCAGGTTATTAACAGGTGCTATTCAATCAGGTAATCAACAGGTGCTACCCAAAAAGGTAATCAATAGGTGTTACCAAACCAGGTAATCAACAAGTGGTACTCAACCAGGTAATCAATAGGTGTAACCCAACCAGGTAATCAACAGGTGTTACTCAACAAGGTAATCAACAGGTATTATTCAACAAGGTAATCAATGTGTGTTATCCAAAAAGGTAATCAACAAATGTCTTGTAACATATTACCAACAGGTTTACTATATCAAGTGTTCAGTAATTTTGAGAATCTTGGTACACAATTTTAATGATTCAAAATGTCAGCAGGTATAAACAAGTTAACACAGATGTAGTGAGAGAGCAGACAGAATTCTGTGAAGGAATAAATTTCAGTAAATCAGTGTTTTCTCTGGGGATTTTTAGGGGCCAATAATGGGGCCCATTACCCATTTAGCTCTTCATATTTATTCGTAATACCTAAAATTTGCAGTTTACTCCTGAAAATTTCCTAATTGGTCATTTCAAAAAGTGAAACAAAAAGGCCCCATATCCCAAATTAATGGAAAAAACACTGTCAACATGTTTATCAATCAGAAATAGCTTCAAAGTCTTAACTACAAGACGTTATAGACCTATCCTGCTGATGACAGGGTATTATTACCTGCATAGCAGGCCAGGATGTGGTTGAAATCACTGCTACATTTGCCGATGACTACATCAGGATCCAACTGGGACATCACATCTACTTTACACAGCAACGTCTGACATTCTGGGTCTACCGCACGCCTCCCACAGCACTCTGTAATATAGAAAGATGTACTGGACCTTCAAACATACTGTAAAATTGGAAGTTTTTACGTTTTTGTATCCGTTAAGCTGGAGATTTTTGAATTATGTAAGCAGTGAACTGCTTTTAGTTGGCATTCATAGGCAATATTAATGGCATTGCAGCGCAAATGTAAATATATAGTGGCAATGATTTACGATGTTAAATATTTTGCAGACATAGCATTTTGTTTTCAGATTTAATTACTTCCAGTCTCCTTTTTAGCGCCCTTAGGGTTCCAAATTCATTGCCAGATTGGTTCCGAGAAACGAAAGTTGTAGGTCCCATGCTTTAATTCACATGAGAGACAGCTAAGATAGGATCACAATCTGAGAATCTGCTATACGTCCATTACAGACAATGCTGACTTCAGAAGTGAATTAAGGCTGGTGATTAACATTTGAAACATTTTGATCAAGTTGTATTTAGTGTTTTATTATCCGCTAAATGGAACAAACTTTTTTTTATTATTATTATTAAAATATGAAGAAACAACAAACCTTCACTATAGGAATTTACACAAGTGAAGGTGACAAAATGATTTTACATAAGATAACTTCTTAAAACAGTGTGCCACAATTTCAAAATGTCGTAAATTCCAGCCTCAATATTATCATTGATATCTTTTAAACATTCAAATAAGATAATTACGAAATATTTACCGTAAATTGTTTCATTCTTTGTCAGACTGGAAACAGCTGAAATGTAAAATGTTTCAATAAGAAAACAACATCTACCAATGGGGATTTTCTCACGCAAGTGAACCATTATTTATAAAAAAAAAAAAAAAAAAAACCCTCTAAGTTTCTTTCAATCATTATTGCAAACACATTCACATGATCATATTCTATCGTTAAGATTGAAGATTAGAAGAATTCTCCATAATTGAAGGACCCCTTCCATGTTCATTCTGTCAATAGGTTTCGACTGCTATGCAAACATCATTGGAACCTTGATGATGGCGGCATATATGTCTAAACATGTTATAGTTTTGAAATATGAGTGGAACGCTGTAGCCTCTTTACCATATTTTGTGGTCGAGTAAACAAATTCCGACGGCTGGCTCGATCCATGGTCAGTGATGGCAGTCATGTACATTACATACTCTGTGTTCGGCAGTAAGTTTGACACGGAGAACAGCACGTCATGCCTGTCAATCAGTGGTGTCTGAAAAATGTACAGTTTGTATACGAGTGACTGTTGGCGATTATGATGACAGTATAGACATAAGCCCGATAAGTCATTGTTAACCCATCCTAGTAAGTTGCCTTAAGCACTAAGCAAATATATTATTTATGTAAATGAGAACAGCTTCTCCAACTTTAAATTTGCTAACGAAAAACAAAGATAGCAAATCTAAATTCTTACTTTTTGTAACTGTTTATTTTCACAAGCTCCTCTTACCAATGGAATTTTTCAAGCAAATTAAACAAAAACAGCCAATTGTCTTTCATGTAAGAAAACACTATTATCAACACTGCTAGTGTGTATTGAAATGTTGATTTTGCTTTGAAAAACTTACACTGAAATATGTGTCACTCATGCTGACTTTGAAGTGGATTCTGTAGAACGTGACGAGGTCGCTGTTGTCCAGTGGTTGCTGCCAGGATACCAGTATGGAGTTGTATTGGGAGTTGGCCACAGCTGATACAGAGGCTGGAGGGCTGGGCAACAGAACTGAAACAACGCAAAACAAGAAAACGCTGTCATCGATATCCCCCGCTCGCAGTGCAAAAGTCATTAAAAACATGAAGCGTAAAATATAGGTCAAAATCAGCATCTGCAATATGCATTCAGTAGAGCAACCCTAGATACACAATTGATGCAAGTATAATCAGCATGGCACTTGTAGTAGGCAAGATATAGATGAAAGCAATTCTTCTGAACCTTACATGAAGATAAGATAAGAGCAATTCTTCTTAACCAAGTCAATGAAGTGTAAAATATAGGTCAAAATCGCTCCAATTCTATTAATTTCATTAAATACAAGGAAACATCTATGGCATTTTACATATCATTTTGCCAAATGGGCTTCATTGAAAGCATTTTTTTTCAAGAATATTATCAAATTTTACTACTTGATTTCTCTCCTACGAAAATTAGGTGAAAGCAAATGATATAGGGAGGTGGGCATATAAAGAAATTGGAAAGAAAACTTGACCTTGAAAAGGAATAAAAGCATCATGCGAGGATTAAATGTACTTGACGATCAAGAAAAAACAAATCCATGTACCAACTGCAAACCTATCAGAATCCCAAACTTCTGCCCTCGGAGTGGTCAGTTGGCGAAACAGATAGCGTACTCGCCTTTACCCAATACAGTCGGTGTTTGATTCCCCAATATGACTGAAAGGTAGGCATCTACCTGACCATGTTTTTATTTCTCCCGGCAATCCAGTTTTCTCCCACATTAAGACCCTGCTTTAATACTACATCTTGGCCAACAAGAGTAATTTATACAAGTTGATGAAACTTGCTTCATAATTAATGTAAAATGGATAAAGTTGGATGAAAACAAACCTCGGCCCTGCTCCACGCATGCGAACATGTCCATGATGTGGTTGAGACATGAGTTGTAGGATTCGTCAGCGTTGGCGGGGACCTGTCCCAGACAAAGGTCTAAACACTTGTTCGGCACCAGTCTTCTCTTACAGCAGCCTGCATGGTTCTTACCCTCTGTACAATAAAGTGTCATCATAGTTGTTTATCTTACGGTACAGTTCAGGCAAAAGAACTTATTACAGGTGCTAACTACCTTACGGTACAGTTCAGGCAAAAGAACTTATCATAGTTGCTGATATTACTGTAAATTTCAACCACTGTAGGTTTCCTCACTCCTGACTCATTAGATAAACCTGCTAGGAGATGGTAAATATTTTTGGTTACCCGCTAGTGGGTAACACCTTGGACGTGATTTCATTGGTCAATTTATTACATTTGACGTCACATGACAATGCTTTGCTACGTCATCTTCCATTGTGATGTCATGATTACATACAGCAATTGTTTCCCCCCCATCGGAAGCCGAATAAGTGTATTTTCAAGGGAACATATGGCTTTCCAGATGAAACATGATCGTTATGGGAGAAAAAGGTCCCCAAACTCGTGATGGTAGGTTATCATGTTTATCTAACACTTGTTAGTTAATTTTCAAATTGTAAAAGACACTCGGTGAACCTTGTGCCTTTATACAATTTGAAAATTAACTAACTCGAGTTAGATAAACATGATAACCAACCATCACTCTTTGGGGAAACTCCATATAGTTGCTTATCCCACTGTTTAAGTAACTGTTCAAATAAATACGTTTGTCTATACAATGTATAACTATCTTTTATTCCTGTGTATTATATCGAAACTAAAAACACTCTTTGTCTTGGAAGGTAGCAAGAAGGCCTATTTTGTTGAGTTTCGCTATAGCATTACCTACCTGAGGCACATTTGAGGATCTTAAGAAGATCAGCGTCACAGGCAGTGACAGCATCAAACCCTACACTGACAGAGTAAGGGGTACAGGCTGGCATACATGTAGCAGATACACCCTCGGTCACACAGCAGTCTGGAATTGCAGAAACACTATACAGCCTTATGTTATATAAGGCAAATCCCCCCCTACACTGACAGAGTAAGGGGTACAGGTGGGCACACATGTAACAGATACACCCTCGGTCACACAGCAGTCTGGAATTACAGAATTACAGAAACACTATACAGCCTTATGTTATATAAGGCAAATAACCCCCTACACTGACAGAGTAAGGGGTACAGGTGGGCACACATGTAACAGATACACCCTCGGTCACACAGCAGTCTGGAATTGCAGAAACACTATACAGCCTTATGTTATATAAGGCAAATCCCCCCCTACACTGACAGAGTAAGGGGTACAGGTGGGCATACATGTACCAGATACACCCTCGGTCACACAGCAGTCTGGAATTGCAGAAACACTATACAGCCTTATGTTATATAAGGTAAATACCCCCCTACACTGACAGAGTAAGGGCTACAGGTGGGCACACATGTAACAGATACACCCTCGGTCACACAGCAGTCTGGAATTACAGAATTACAGAAACACTATACAGCCTTATGTTATATAAGGTAAATACCCCCCTACACTGACAGAGTAAGGGCTACAGGTGGGCACACATGTAACAGATACACCCTCGGTCACACAGCAGTCTGGAATTGCAGAAACACTATACAGCCTTATGTTATATAAGGGAAATACCCCCCTACACTGACAGAGTAAGGGGTACAGGTGGGCATACATGTAACAGATACACCCTCGGTCACACAGCAGTCTGGAATTACAGAAACACTATACAGCCTTATGTTATATAAGGTAAATACCCCCCTACACTGACAGAGTAAGGGGTACAGGTGGGCACACATGTAACAGATACACCCTCGGTCACACAGCAGTCTGGAATTACAGAAACACTATACAGCCTTATGTTATATAAGGCAAATACCCCCCTACACTGACAGAGTAAGGGGTACAGGCGGGCATACATGTAACAGATACACCCTCGGTCACACAGCAGTCTGGAATTACAGAAACACTATACAGCCTTATGTTATATAAGGCAAATACCCCCCTACACTGACAGAGTAAGGGGTACAGGCGGGCATACATGTAACAGATACACCCTCGGTCACACAGCAGTCTGGAATTACAGAAACACTATACAGCCTTATGTTATATAAGGCAAATACCCCCCTACACTGACAGAGTAAGGGGTACAGGCGGGCATACATGTAACAGATACACCCTCGGTCACACAGCAGTCTGGAATTACAGAAACACTATACAGCCTTATGTTATATAAGGCAAATACCCCCCTACACTGACAGAGTAAGGGGTACAGGCGGGCATACATGTAACAGATACACCCTCGGTCACACAGCAGTCTGGAATTACAGAAACACTATACAGCCTTATGTTATATAAGGCAAATACCCCCCTACACTGACAGAGTAAGGGGTACAGGCGGGCATACATGTAACAGATACACCCTCGGTCACACAGCAGTCTGGAATTACAGAAACACTATACAGCCTTATGTTATATAAGGCAAATACCCCCCTACACTGACAGAGTAAGGGGTACAGGCGGGCATACATGTAACAGATACACCCTCGGTCACACAGCAGTCTGGAATTACAGAAACACTATACAGCCTTATGTTATATAAGGCAAATACCCCCCTACACTGACAGAGTAAGGGGTACAGGCGGGCATACATGTAACAGATACACCCTCGGTCACACAGCAGTCTGGAATTACAGAAACACTATACAGCCTTATGTTATATAAGGCAAATACCCCCCTACACTGACAGAGTAAGGGGTACAGGCGGGCATACATGTAACAGATACACCCTCGGTCACACAGCAGTCTGGAATTACAGAAACACTATACAGCCTTATGTTATATAAGGCAAATACCCCCCTACACTGACAGAGTAAGGGGTACAGGCGGGCATACATGTAACAGATACACCCTCGGTCACACAGCAGTCTGGAATTACAGAAACACTATACAGCCTTATGTTATATAAGGCAAATACCCCCCTACACTGACAGAGTAAGGGGTACAGGCGGGCATACATGTAACAGATACACCCTCGGTCACACAGCAGTCTGGAATTACAGAAACACTATACAGCCTTATGTTATATAAGGCAAATACCCCCCTACACTGACAGAGTAAGGGGTACAGGCGGGCATACATGTAACAGATACACCCTCGGTCACACAGCAGTCTGGAATTACAGAAACACTATACAGTCTTATGTTATATAAGGCAAATACCCCCCTACACTGACAGAGTAAGGGGTACAGGCAGGCATACATGTAGCAGATACACCCTCGGTCACACAGCAGTCTGGAATTACAGAAACACTGTACACTGTCTTATGTTATAAAAGGCAAATACCCCCCTACACTAACAGAGTAAGGGGTACAGGCGGGCATACATGTAACAGATACACCCTCGGTCACACAGCAGTCTGGAATTACAGAAACACTATACAGCCTTATGTTATATAAGGCAAATACCCCCCTACACTGACAGAGTAAGGGGTACAGGCGGGCATACATGTAACAGATACACCCTCGGTCACACAGCAGTCTGGAATTACAGAAACACTATACAGCCTTATGTTATATAAGGCAAATACCCCCCTACACTGACAGAGTAAGGGGTACAGGCGGGCATACATGTAACAGATACACCCTCGGTCACACAGCAGTCTGGAATTACAGAAACACTATACAGCCTTATGTTATATAAGGCAAATACCCCCCTACACTGACAGAGTAAGGGGTACAGGCGGGCATACATGTAACAGATACACCCTCGGTCACACAGCAGTCTGGAATTACAGAAACACTATACAGCCTTATGTTATATAAGGCAAATACCCCCCTACACTGACAGAGTAAGGGGTACAGGCGGGCATACATGTAACAGATACACCCTCGGTCACACAGCAGTCTGGAATTACAGAAACACTATACAGCCTTATGTTATATAAGGCAAATACCCCCCTACACTGACAGAGTAAGGGGTACAGGCGGGCATACATGTAACAGATACACCCTCGGTCACACAGCAGTCTGGAATTACAGAAACACTATACAGCCTTATGTTATATAAGGCAAATACCCCCCTACACTGACAGAGTAAGGGGTACAGGCGGGCATACATGTAACAGATACACCCTCGGTCACACAGCAGTCTGGAATTACAGAAACACTATACAGCCTTATGTTATATAAGGCAAATACCCCCCTACACTGACAGAGTAAGGGGTACAGGCAGGCATACATGTAACAGATACACCCTCGGTCACACAGCAGTCTGGAATTACAGAAACACTATACAGCCTTATGTTATATAAGGCAAATACCCCCCTACACTGACAGAGTAAGGGGTACAGGCAGGCAAACATGTAGCAGATAAACCCTCGGTCACACAGCAGTCTGGAATTACAGAAACACTGTACATGTATACAGCCTTATGCTATATTAGGCAAATACCCCCCTACAGATCTAGATCTCCTGTGTACTAAGGGTAAATTTATCATCACTGCAAATATTACACAGGGCAAATATGGATTTTACTGGTGAAGGATTCAAGTTTGACTTGGTAAAACTCAGAGCAAATATGGATTTTACTGGTAAAGAATTCAAGTTTGACTTGGTAAAACTCAGAGCAAATATGGATTTTACTGGTGAAGGATTCAAGTTTGACTTGGTAAAATTCTGGGCAAATGTTGATTTTACTGGTGAAGGATTTAAGTTTGACTTGGTAAAATTCAGGGCAAATACATGTATGGATTTTACTGGTGAAGGATTCAAGTTTGACTTGGTAAAACTCAGGGCAAATATGGACTTTACTGGTGAAGGATTCAAGTTTGACTTGGTAAAATTCAGGGCAAAGATGGATTTTACTGGTGAATGATTAAAGTTTGACTTGGTAAAATTCAGGGCAAAGATGGATTTTACTGGTGAAGTATTCAAGTTTGACTTAAAAAAATTCAGGGCAAATATGGATTTTACTGGTGAAGTATTCAAGTTTGACTTGGTAAAACTCAGGGCAAATATGGATTTTACTGGTGAAGGATTCAAGTTTGACTTGGTAAAATTCGGGGCAAATATGGATTTTACTGGTGAATGATTCAAGTTTGACTTAATAAAATTCAGGGCAAATATGGATTTTACTGGTGAAGTATTCAAGTTTGACTTAATAAAATTCAGGGCAAATATGGATTTTACTGGTGAAGTATTCAAGTTTGACTTGGTATAACTCAGGGCAAATATGGATTTTACTGGTGAATGATTCAAGTTTGACTTAATAAAATTCAGGGCAAATATGGATTTTACTGGTGAAGGATTCAAGTTTGACTTGGTAAAACTCAGGGCAAATATGGATTTTACTGGTGAAGGATTAAAGTTTGACTTGGTAAAATTCAGGGCAAATATGGATTTTACTGGTGAAGTATTCAAGTTTGACTTGGTAAAACTCAGGGCAAATATGGATTTTACTGGTGAAGGTTTAAAGTTTGACTTGAAAAAAGTTTCTGTTGTACATGTTCAGGTATGCAATAATTCAGAGAACCAAGGTTTGACAACATTTGACTACAGAAAAACAGATGGATGGACAGACAGATTCCAGTATCTTCCATACATTCATTACAGAGGGGTTTTAATAAAAAAAAGTATAACATTGGAATTATTGATCTATGGAAAATAATGAATATATTCAATTTTAACATCAGTCTGGTATAGCTAGAAAGTAAGTAGTTCTTTTTACCTGTAAAGTTGAAGTTCTGGCTCACGTTCGGAATCACCGGGGGAGGTGCTGCCTCTACATGAAATAAAAAAAACATCACCTGTTTTACGTAGGTCATTTTTATACAGCGCATACAGAACATTTCAGTTGAATTCAAGTAAAATCTTCTCTGTTATATAGAATGTACATTGCATTACTCAACAGATAACACTGCGGAGGATTATTAAGTAGCATCTTCCATAAGATTCATTAGTTTGGAAAAATTGTATGCATCAAAGCCATATACCTTGACGAAGGGTCAAGTCCGTTTTGAAACAGTGCCACACTTTTAATATGCCCCTTGGTTGTGTATAAAGTAAAAGTTAATTTTGATGCATATTTTTGTAGCATTTATATGCATATCATCTGATGTCTCAGATTGCACAAGTGCATTGCTAGTATGATTGAATATAATTCATGGGGCTTTAGCCAGAGTGAAATATATACATATATTATACATTTGCACAATAAACCAGAGTAAGTGGACAAATTGTGTTTCAACAATGTTTTATACATCACAATCAGTAAAACAATGCTAGTTTCCAGAGTTGATAAGACAAAGTAGACATACTATGATTTAAGAGGGAAAATACTGTGACCAAATTTCTTAAGCGGTGCTGATAAGACAGGGGGCCATTGAAGAGAGGTTAAACTGTACAAAGAGATCACAGGACAGATAACTCATCTGTGTGAGGTAAATAACTGGTAACTGTTACAATTAAATTTTCTTTTGGTCCTGATTAAGGCCTCCGAGCAGGACTTATTTCATTTGCTGGGTTTCTAATTATTATTTTTTCCTGCTACCATATGGTTTCCTGATTTTTCTCAGCTACTTACTCTCCAGAATCTAATGAAACCCTAACACAAGTATTGATATCAATATTAAAATGTACAGAGCGTATTCTTCTGATCGGACATCAAACATGGCTGCCATATTGGTCCAAAGTTTGATATTGATCGATTGATGAAATTCGGTATGAGGGGTGTGTAATATGGCCCTGCATCGACAACTGCAAGCTCTGTTTCCTGATTGGACAAGATATGGCCACTGTAAACTGACTTCTGATTGGTCAAAATTCAGATATTGTCTGATTTTGCTCAAATTTGGTATGTAGGTGTATTATTGAATTGCGAACTGTTTCAGATGCATCGTTTGTGATAATGGGGGCCTGTTGCCATTCAAACTTGTTTTCGTTAGGTTTGTGAGGTTAATATATTAGCTCCAAAAAATAGCTCTGTATCAATTACTGATGCATGTCCCTATAACTACCTGTGATATTAAGGTTGTGAACAGACGAAATTTCAGTTCCCTTTATGGCGCACTTGTAATGGCCCTGGTCCTCTTCCTGAAGACCAGCAATCACCAACGTGAAGAAACTATACGGGCCAGAATCTGTAATAAAAACAAGTCACTGTATGTAAATGTCTGTACATTGAATTTTTGAAAGGATATTTCTACAGGCAAGATATTTTTCGCAATTTCGTGGGTTAGTAAAAGTGATCGCAAAAACATGGTCCATAGAATAATATTACAACCGTAAAAATGAGCTGTGATGATATACATCATAACTGTATTGTCGTCAGGAAAGAGCGAGTATGTGGCTGTAACGTTTTTATATACATCAAGAGTATAACACAAGATGTTTGAAAATAAATTGTACCACACATCTAATAGTTTTGTTGAAGATTTTTTTTTTTTCAAAGTGAGGAATAATGTAAATAGTTGACATTGAGTCCACTCCACACTACACACGATAATGTGTCATGTGACCACTGACCTGCCGGTCGCTGGACACTGTAGCGGGTCTCGGTAATACCCTTCTCGATAAAAACTTCGTAGCCGGAGGAAATCAAGACATTGTGGTTCACAAACGTCCAAGTAACCTGCAACACCATCAATAAAATGTTCTGAAAACGCTTGTGAATCCTGGTGGAAATTTACACTTTATTAAATATATTTGTTACTTAAAGGCAAAAATCCACTTGCATAGCCCCATACCATGATATTTGTCAACTATATGCACAACACCTTACACATTTTCCTTATTTTTTCAAATTGAAAATTTAATGTGGATATTTTTTGTGTATCAATCAATATAGACACTAATTTTGGTCGATTAAGATTTTGTAAAATTGCAAGCAAGCGACATTAATTTACTATAGAGGAAAATTGTTTTGATTAATGTATATGCTAATTGTATTGATTGTATAAATTGTGCTTTAGAGTGGCTTATTCTAGCTAGATAGGGCGCTGTATCAAGTGTTGTAAATTATTATTTTATGACATTTTAAAATATTCACATCAAAGACCAAATCTCCTTAGTGGTTGAAACAGCAAGTTAGTTTCACATGCACAGACAAATATAAGGTAAAACAGCCTGCAAATTTGTTTAACTCATTCACCCCTGAAGACACATTTGAACTCTTCCAATTCAAAGGTTGGAATAGTTCATTATGAAACTTCAGGGGTGAATGAATTAACTCCATCTTGTACATTAGAAGTAATAAAACAAAGCTTTTGATTCAGCTAAGACAGAGCTTTTAACTCATTCACCCCTGAAATTTCATAATGAACTATTCGAACCTTTGCATTGGAATAGTTCAAATGTGTCTTCAGGGGTTAATGAGTTAATTCAGTTAAATTTAATATGGGTCAGAACTTAAATAAAAACAATGTGACAGTCCCAATGTACAATCATAATATTACACAGCTAGTATTTTTTTTATTTTTTTATTTTTGTTAAATTGTTATAATTTCCATGGGAAATATCTTTTCTACGGACAACTGAAATTTGTGATTCATGTATATGTATTTACCGTAGATGACCCGATATTCTTGACTTTACATTCCATGCGGACTGTATTTCCAACATTGGCCTGGTGGTTCATCGGACTGGTCTGATCGATTTGGGACTGCTGCTGGCCCACCAAAAGGTCTGGTGAAATAAAAAAAAAATAAAAAACACATTTAAGGATCCCCGTTTCACTGCCAAAAACTGTAACCAATTAGTAATTAAAACTGTTTTCCAGCATGAATATAGCTTTGATAAATCATTTCTGAAAAGAAAACCATATAACTTGCAGGAATTTTAAAGATCTCAAAGATGTTCGAAGTTCAACAATTTGGGAGTTGAGTCAATGTCTCAATGTTTTGATTTTTATCCCAATGGTCCCGCAAAGTTTGAAATTTTTAAGTTTTACTGTAATGTATATAGCAATACCTCAATATCAATTTCTTCATTTGTCAATGTATAGACTAATGTCATTCAAATGTCCTCTTTTGCAAAAAACTGCCCTACATGTCATAGTATCAAATAGTAAATCCTATCAAAATACGTTTTTTATATAATTTATAGTATTTATGGGTTTGACTGGACAATTTGGACCACATTTTTACTGAAGATTCTAAAGCAATAAGTACACTGTTTTAAAGTTAATTAAGAAAACGATTGATCAATGATGGTTTCAGCATTGTCAGTGTATTGCGATATAGCAGGCCGACAAAATAATTCAATGTGATCATACACAATTAAGTATCACAATGATATACATATGATTCAATGAATCGTTTCAACCCTAAAACCAACAAATAGAAAGTCCCATATTGTACAGAGTATAATAGAATGTACCATGAAGGGTAACATATTTCATGTAGCTGTTCATTATTAAACAGTACTAGCTGTCCATTCGTGTATTTAAGAATGGACAGGCATACATGCATGTACACACTACATACTAGCCTAATAATGGACAGTTTCAACAAACATAATTTTAAGCACTAACAAATTTTAGAAGAAAACTCACAATTTACTTACAATAAATGGCCAGATTCATGTACATGTACATATATAAGAAATAGGTGGTAACCTGAAGATGTTATATATATCTAGGGCTTTAATTTTATTCATTGTAGTTTGTTTAAATATGACATTAACTGCAACAATTGCTCTAGATCAAGGTAAATATGTAAATCTGGTACAAAATACTAGCTGCTTCCTACCTACATAGCTACTCGGCTAGGGAGAACATCTCTTTAGCTCATTCCGTATAAGACTAGTAAACCAGAGATCCTGGGTACGACTCCTAGCGGAGGCAATGCAAAACAATGACCCCTGTTACACTGGCGCCCATCTATGGAACCAAGAAATTATTGACAAATATACTCAGCGATACTTTTAAAAGAATCGCTATGACCTAAGATGACTCGGGACAAGTATTTTCCTGAAAGGACCTGAAAGGACCTGAAAGGAAGTACCGGGTATGTTTTCCTGGTACAAAATAGCTTCCTACTAATTTGGTTATGGAGATTTTCACTTTAGCTCATTTGGTGGAGTGTAAGACTATAATAAGTAAACCACAGATCCTGGGTTCGACTCCTAAGGGCATGGAGGCATTTAAGAAATATTGGCCTCTGTTTATACTTATATAAAAAGATATACCATATAGGAAAATTAACATTTCTCCCTAAAATTTGGAAAATTAACATTTCTCCCAAAATTTTCCTTAAGTTATATTCAGCAAGTAGGAGGAAGTTATAGCTCGGAATATGAATTTGACCATTGACCTTAATGTGACCTTAACCTTGAGTGTACAGACTCAACTGGTACAAAACAAACTCAGGGAGCATCAATCAATAAAGTTAGGAATTGAGAAAAAAACGACATGGGTCGACGTCCCAAATATAACAATGGAGGCGCCAGATACAATTTGGTTTGGAAGATGTAGAAGAAACACCCTAGCTTCCCCCTTGTTCTACATATAACATTAGTCGCCTCAAGCTCTTACTGTAACATACACAGGGCTCATGAAATCTTTAATTTCCTGGAAGCTGATGCTGGGGCACACAGACTAACTAAACAATGAACTACCTCTATTATGGAGCTGATCAAGACACTGTGTGTACCCACGGCAAATTCTTTATGTGTAGCAATTTCTGTATTATAAAATCTGACCTCTGCCCATACTTACCAAAGTTACAAATGAAAACCAGTAACAATACAGTAGAAAACTCCATTTTCATGTCTTTATTATGTTAATGTTTTCTGAACTGTAAGTCGACGCTAACTCCTCCTTCACACAGTTTGTTTCATTTTCTGCAAAACAAAAACAAAAAAACAATGAAAGAAACAGGTTGTTTTAAAAGGAATTCTTCATACTTATTTTCTTTAATTTTCATAGGTGATATCAATAATAAACATTTAGTTCTATCAGTGAGGTCTACACAACAGTTTGACAATGGTTCAGATTCACTAGAGGGGCAATTTGCAAGTATTCATATAGCAGAAATTAACATTTTAAAGCAACTGTCGGTTGTGCGTTATATATGTACTTTGAATTGTGTATTGGGTAATAAATAAATGAGCCGCCAGCTGGGATTTGGGTCCTTAACTTCTAGCTAATGAAAAGGGAGAAAAACGGGAATTCCGACAGGCGTCATATTTCAATTCTATTTCTGTTTCGCGCGAAAACGGAAAACTCACTTGCTTTACAAGAATGTACAATATAACTTTTATTATCCCCAAAACATATACATATAATGTAACTACTGAAACTAGAAGGCTATCTCTTAATTATTCAAACAATATCATACACTTTAGATATCAATAATTAATCAAATTGACTTAAATATCGAAGCGACAGGGATTTCCCGTTTTCTGGTGCGCACACTTCCGGTAGATTGTTTACATTCGCTACGGAAGATGATAGACACGGTGGCTGCATTTAAACTTGTGACATGTCGCAGCCTATCTTCCACCCAATTTGAAGTATATGAATTGATGTGATAGTGTGATAGCTGCATAGCTAGACGATCAGTTCAGTCACTTCTTTCCCGTTTCTTCAACTAGTAATCTTGCTAAATGTTGGCCAGGTTCAGGCGTGTGGGACAAGGGGGTGCAGGCTAACTTGCACGTCTACATTTATACAATGTGACTTGCAGTTTCAAAACACAAATAAGTTAATCGACTAGTCATGTTTTCTGTACTTTAATAATATCAACGTGCATTATCTCGAGAATGTAAGGACGCTTTTTTGATGCAGTTCTTTGAATGCATGGGAACACTTAGTACATTATATATACTAATATTAATACCCGGCCTCCTCTGCCCCGATTAAAAAAATATCGTCGTCAGAAAGCTACGTTATCGCAGCTAGGGAACACTCAGAAGAAAGAAAAACATGCTGTAAAATATGAGCATGTACAGCAAAGATTCCAAGGTATGTAAACATTAAGAAAAATATGTGTATTTTTTATTGTATAATGAGGTAAATGACCAAATGCTTTAAATGAATAGAAAGCGTCTTCAAGTGACAACAAGCGTCGCCAGACAAAATCTTTAAAAATACCGAATAAAATAAGCGATATCAGAAGATTTGTTGTCAATATGACTATAATACACCTTTATATCAAATTTCAATTTGATATTTGAAAAATTGACCGAGTTATGATGAATTGAATTTTACGATCTGCGGCGTGGCACGTGTGTGAATTGAACTCCGCAGATCGTGAAGCGTCTTCAGACTTTACCTCTAAGATTAACCTATAAAATAAGCAACATCAGAAAATATGTTTTTCATATGACTATGAACACCTATGTGCCAAACTTCAGGTCGATATTTGAAAAAATGACATAGAAATGACAAATTGAATTTTTACGATTGGCGCCGTTGCATAAAGAAATCTACAGATCGTGAAGCGTCTTCAAACTATATCCCTAAAATTAATCTAAAAAAGTAAGCAACATCAGACGATATGTTATTCATATGAATATAACACACTTTTATACCAAATTTCAGTTTGATATTTGAGATAAATTTTAAGATGTACATGTACAAGTATGAAAATTTACAGCGTATCACACATGTGTGCACACATATATAAGGACTTCGCATAGCTGTAAACGGCCACCCCGGATTATATTGCTGTGTAAACACTGGTATAGCATTTTGTTTGTTTTATTATTTGTTGTTTCCCTCGTCAGAATGGATGATTTTATTTCAGTTCCATGGATGATTTTTTTTCAGTTCCATTCTTTGTAGAAGTTACCAGACTGCTACGGACTCTTTGTCTGTAATATATGTTCGTGTGACTATATATATGTAATGTGTTTGAAAACATATAAATACTGCGTTTTTATTTGTAGACTTTAAATAAAAATAAGATAAAAAAAATAACTTTTAATAAAGCTTAATGCTTAATACCATCGGTATTTTCATATTTTTAGTGATTCCTGCAGTATTGTTAACATGTCATTCGTAGAAGTAAAAACAAAAGTCGGTTTTCTAGCACACATGTTTTGGGAACTTTTAACTTTTAGAGCTTTATCTAATGTTGACAATTCCCGCAAGACAACTAAGCTTGAAATCTTGCGCGTGCGCGGCCAGTTCATAGTCACCGGTACCAACGACCATCAAAAGTATTGCAATTGTTGCATGCTGAATCAGCTTGGGAACTCATTTTTCTGCGTACACCATCCACGAACTTAGACTTAATCTAATTACGTGGTACATCATAGTATTGAGACTGATGAATAGTATAAAGTACATAAGCCCTGAATTCGATCAGGAACTTCATAAGTTTGAAACTTGAGCATGTGATTCATTGATTTGCAATTGTTGTTTTTCAATCTTTTTTGTAAAACACCCCTCGCTTGATCCTTTCTGACCAATATGTCTCTATACGTGTTCCATACGACTCATCAATCTTTAGCAAGATAGTAATTGATTTTATATTAAATATCAATTCAGTAAACTTTTCTTGCGTATTTTGTCATAGACTATGCATAAACTGACCTTTTTAGGGGCACCATCTTGTTTAATATAAAGTAATATAGAGGTCTCATTGTTAACGTAATTGATTGTACCATCACATGCACAACAGCATGTCAGTGAAACAATGTTTATACAGCAATATGATCCGGGCTGGTCGTATTCAGCTATACGGTCGAAGTCCTACGTACATGTAGACATATGTGACACGCCGAGAGCTTCATCCGTGTACTCATAAAACTTAAATACCCCACGATAACTCGGTAATTTAGCCCCTGAAATCCATCGTTTTTGATTGTACAATGTTGTTTTTCACGTCCAATAAATGTGTTGAGAATGCATTTTTTTTATAAAACTGTTTTACTTCACAATATAGCTGTATATTTTATATATTGTGTTGCATAGATGATCACCAAACCTTGTTTGTACCAGGTATATATAAATCGGTTTTTAATGCATATACTTTCTGTTGATATGTATATTAAATGTTCATTTTAGGGGAACAAAAGGTGAAACCTGCACTTGGCGGGGAGGAGACTGATGTGAGACTAGTTATGAGAGGGAAAGCCATTCCTGAAGTTTTCTAGAAAGTGGTGATAAAGGCCAGGGACCTTCTCTGCCTACACTAGATGTAACTAGAACACTGACAGGTCAGTAAGGGCCCCGTCTGGTGGCCATATATCCCCCATAATCATCAAGAAGCAATATGCCCATTCAGCTGAGCTTGACGTTTGACATTAGGACTTCAAAAAGAATCGCAAGGAAGCAAAATATACATTTTATATGTACTATGATGCGAGTCTTGTTTCCTTCCACCTCCATATTTGCTGGGCTAACAGAAATGTAAATACCGGTGTAATACTCATTTGTTAGCTTTGATTTGTTTTATTTCACCTTATATACCTCCTCCATCCAGAACCAGGGTAAAAGTCAGAGATCCACTTTGTCTTTGACCTTTGGACCCAAATGACCTTGACCATTAACCCAGTGACCCTGATCTGTCAGTTGACTTATTCTTTAATTCCGACCAACTTTGCTTCATAATATCATAACAAAATGTTCATCAGTGAAAAATACAAAACTTGACCTTGACCCTTTGAACCCCGTAACCTGGACCTTGACAGTTGACTCTGTGTTAAGTTCTGAACAAGTTTGCTACATAATAACATAAAATGACCTTGACATTACGTCAGTTGACTCCTTTTTAAATTCGAACCAACTTTGCTTGTGAAAGATACAAAATTTGACCTGGACCTTTGACCCAGTGACCTTGCCCTTTTGGTCAAATGACTCCTTGTTTAATTCCCATAAACATTGCTTCAAAGTGTCATAATGAAATGTTAACCAGCAAAAAAATACTTAATTTTACCTTGACCTTTGACCGAGTGACCTTGACCTTAGGTCAGTTGACACTTTGTAAAATTCCGACCAACTTTGCTTCATAAAGTCATAACAAAATGTTCATCAGGGAAAAGATACAAAATTTGACCGTGACCTTTGACCCAGTGACCTTGACCTTTGGTCAATTGACTCCTTGTTTAATTCTGAGCAACATTGCTTCAAAGTGTCATACCAAAATGTTCGTCAGTGAAAAGATGCAAAATTTGACCTTGACCTTTGAACCTAATGACCTTGACCTTTGACTTTGAATTTTTACCTCAATGTGTATTTTTGTGAACTGAACATCTTGACCAAGTTTCATATACATCGGTCAATAAAGTTTCATATACATCGGTCAATAAATACCAAAGTTATCAGCCAGGAACAAAATTTGTGGACAGACAGAGAGACAGACAGACAGAGAGACAGACAGACAGACAGACAGACAGACAGACAGAGTAATTACTTTAGGGCACCCGTATCTCCGATACGGGGCCCTAATTAGGCTCATATTGGTTATCTATCCAAACAAAGGAATGATGACATACTGTGTTTAAAATCTACTTTTTAGACTAATAGTGCATTTCAGTGACTATTCAGAATGGACTGGCCTAAGGACGGTCTTTCTGTGGATGTCAAAGTGTTTACTTGAGGTAGAAGGTGAGGCCAAAATGTGTAGTGATGTGATATGAGTATTGAGATTTTCCTTGGCCAATAAAATGCTGGGAAATGAACAGTTATTTATTATCTACAAAAAAAAACAGTATTGAATATAGGAATAATATAGTCTGTGCCTTAACTAAAATGCCTGTTTTGTTTTCTGAAAATGATGTTTAACAAATATTTGAGAAAAACAATCACTAAATTAAAACAGCAAGATTTTGAAGTTTTTCATTCAAATGAAAAATGGTACTGTTGAAACAAGTGACCTTATCAACCTCACATA